CTTTAGGGGAGTTATCGAACCTTAAGACGTTAACTCCTATGTGCGGGCGTAAATGCCCAGTTTTTTACTCTCTTTGAAAGGGTGTGCAGCCTCCATATAGATATGGAGTCAGTAGTCCCTGCTCTCACTGCAGCCTCTGACGATGGCAGTTTGCCCTCTCACTTGGGAAATGAGTTTTGAACGTTCAGTTCATCAAAACTCAAGCTCGTCGTCGTATACTTCTAGGGGCATTATTAGGAGTACATTCGATTCCTTGTTCATGGTTCTCCTCGCTCTCTTGTGTGATAATATGAAGCTTGAACAATGTGAGCGAGCAGATGGATTCACTATGCGGAACAAATAGCTTCCTAAACACTGGCAAAGCGTCTCAAACAGACCGGCGATCGAATTTGGAGGTTTAAGAGCACGGGGTCACACGGCACGTGGCGATTGAGTGTCAGAACTGGTAGGACCACGTAAGCTCTATTTCTCAATAGGGACAATACGAACCCCTCATTCACTTGACGGCTGCCTCCATTTTAAGGGGAGGTTTGAAGAGTGCCGTCGCATATCGTACAACTATTTGCATTTCACTTAGCTCCACCGCTCGAAGCACGTTTCTGCCGCGGAGTTTTATCTATTCCGGTGCCAGTAGAGGCCCATCAATGCCGAAGAAAGCAGCGAAAGCAACCACCACCGAGGTTTTCGCGCCCTTCTTGAGTTGTACTTATTCGAATCATTACTATATTTGTGTTTTTCTTTCCTTTGCTGGGATGCCTATTCTCGACGCACTACGTCCTCCACATCCTGAGGCGTGTCCCGCTCATGACATTCCTCGAAGAGATGTGCGCATGTACGATGCCGCAGTGCAAACGGGCGTTGCCTTGTGCACTCTCCAGTGTAGAGAACACACACACTCAGTCGTAAAGTACAGACCGTACGCCTGCGCGCGCGCTTCGAAAAACTGCGCCCCCGCCCAAAATCACCGTCGCCGTCGTCAACAGCAAATAGCGGCCGCGCGCGCGCCATCTTACGCCCTCGCGAACAAACACAGACATACAAAAAAGAAAGAAGCATGGCCGACAGACGTCACGCAGCTTTGCCCTCCCATCACGTACTCGCACTCGCTTTGGCGCGGGTCTGCACAAAAGGACTCAAAAACGGTGATGTGTGGGGGGGCGGGGAGGGGGGAGACAACGCACGGCCGGGTTCTTCGGAGCAACTTTGGAGACAGATTCGAAACCCCCTACCTTTTTCTCTTCGCTGGACTGCAAATAACGCGCAGCTAAAGGAAATAAAAAGCTTGCTTGGAAAGGGGCGCCGCCTAGCGGTGAACCGCCGCCCCGCCGCCGCTGCCGAGCACCGGCCTGCATACATACACAGCCGGCGTCGTCTGCTCGAGGTTTTGTGTGTCTGTTTTTCGTCTGCTCGGCGACGAACGAGTCCGTCTGCTCGGGTGGCCAGACGGGCGTACGCTCGAAGCAACAATGCCCGAGACCTGTTGGGGGTTCGCCTGCTCGCGCACCAATGCTCAAGGGAGAAGAAGAGGGCGTTTTTTGCTTCGGGGCGGCGTCTTCAAAACCCGCGCCGTCATTATGGAACCACTATATATGCGGCCCGAAAGTAGTCTGCCCGCAACTTCGGCCCGTTTCATTTTGTTGCTGTTCTTTTTCCGGGTTTATCATTTTGGAGGAACTGGTGTTTGGAATGAACGGCCCCGCATTCACGGCCAACCCTGCAACAACCGTCGAGGCGAAAAAGAAGTGGAGCGCCGCTGGCGTGTCGATGACTCCGTTGAAGAAACTGAAAAATTATAGGCCCCGTCACGTGTGTGTTTGGCCTTCGATCGTTGGCATGACTTCGCATGTGCAGTCTCACCAATAGGTTAGTCGAAGAATGTGTGTCTGGCCCAACATAAGGGTACATATATCGAGCTTATCCAAGAAAGTGGAACGCGCACTAAGGAATACGTGTCAGGAGAGTTGTGCAATGTTTACGCGAACGCAAGGTGGCGGCCTTCTTGTTGTGGCAGTCTGTTATTCGTCCTCCCCATCTCACACTGGTTCTCGCTACAACGAATTTATGACGTTTGTCTCCTCCCCTCTCTCTCGCCCTTTCACGCATGCTCACTTGTTATTAAAGTGCGAAGCGCTTAGCTGAATTTACTCCTGCTGTCCACCGTCTCATTCCAAACCACAAGCAACTGCAGTCAAACAACTTCAAACCACGAACAACTCGGACTGAGAAACCCAATATAAGGAAATTTCGGATATAGGGAAGAAAACTAATGTTTCGCCACTGGTTAGGCCCAGTGTGCGTGCATGCATCCATAACCTGACACCGCCACAGTCAGTAAGCCTCGATACTGTGACCTCGCATGTAACGAAATTTCGGATATAGGGAAATCAAATAGATTTGTGTCAGTTCTATAGCAATTTTAATGTGAGTTCGAATATGCCCAACTGTCACGCTCTCGAAAGAGAGTAGCAGCGTTATAAATAAATAAATAACGAATGTGATTCATGTCAGGCGCGACTTTATTGAGCGAGTTTGCATTGTGCACTAATGCAACCTTTTTACAGAAAAAAAATGGCGCGCAGCAGACGACAGGAAGAAGTATCAAAGTAAATAAAAGCGAATAGGTGGGAGCAGACGAGACTAATGCGTGTGGAAATCTCCTTACGGAAGACACGTCCAGACATGCGTCTGCGGAATGTCTTTTTACTCGCCATCCGCGCACGTTCACTAAATCCCTCCTTTATGATTTAGAGGCCCTTTATACTACCCGCCCACCTGCCTGACCCATTCACGAGACGGAAGGGGAAGGAGAGCATACGTCGACGGTATGGCTCAACTCGCATCTTTTATTGAAAACGGAAACCTCCCGAGCAACAAAAACTGGCTGGCCCGAGTGCAGGGTTGTGTTCGCTGACCCGTGCAGAGACGCGACATCTTTTCCCGCTTCGGCGCGGCCACGTTGCTCCAGTTTCTCAACGACGGGCGCGGTTTGGTGTCGATACTACAATACGTGGACTTCCTAAAGATACCTAGTGTGGCCAGCTAAGTAGGTAAACTAAAAAAGCGAAACCTCGGCTGTAGTAAATGCTAGAGCGGAGTGCAAGCAGAGACGATATAGGTTCGGCGACCGCGGAAACTGGCGAGGAACTTTGCTATTTAGCCCGAAAACCCTGACGAACCATTGTTGCCATGCTCGCCGTTAGAAAGTGTGTTCCTCCATCCCAATATTCCTAGATATATATGTATACATAAAAAGGAAGCGGGGGGGGGGAGGGTTCATGCCCCGACGAGCCCACGTCTTATGGTCCGTGAGGAATGGTGCATGAAGCGCGCACAGTCTGGAGGGATTAAGGGTCCGAACCATGAAAAGACCTCTGGTCAGAGTACGAAGGCGCCGTCTGGCGGAGAGGGGAGGTAGTGTACGGGAAAGTAGCGATGTTCAACTTGCCCCCACGATGTCCAACAGAGAGCCGTTCAAAGTCGCCAAGGTGTGGGGGTCAAGAAGCAACGCACTGGCTTCGCGGACATGGCCAGGAGACGATCTTTTCACGCTGTTAACATTCTCCACTCTCCTCAGTCATGGGGCCCCCTTCCTTTCCCGCATGCCCCCTGGTGATGGCAGTTGGGCACACAATGAGAGCAGAGCGTTCTTCTTTCTCCGTCAAGGCTATGGCGCGAAGCTTTTAGAAGAAACCCGGGGGACCGAAGACACACTCGAATCTCAGTGCAAACGCCGTTGGACCGAAAATGTCTGTTGACAGAATACGGCTGGTCGGATTAGCGCTCGAGCCGCCACATTGCCTTTGAAGGAGAAGACCTAGCCATTCTGGACATGCCGCCGCTCCGTTTTCTTCTTCTTCTCTGCGTTTACTTACCTACGGCTTGACGCGCCCTTCTTTTCGTGCTCGTGACGATGAAGGTGGATGCACGCCTTTCACTTTCCGGAGGGCCTCTTCTTCACAGGCTTTTGTAGATTGAACTCTCGTGGCTGTCTTGGAAAGTCCGCGGCTCGTGTTCTTCCGGAAGGTATACCTTTGGGGTGCGACCAGCACAATGCCCAATAGGGAACGAAGGCAGAGTGTGACATCTAGTGGTTCGGCCAGCCGCGCTGCTTTGCATATCCACAATAGAGATATATCGGAGCGGGTATTGAGAGGACCCACCTGAATTGTCGTTCGTAAGGTCGTCAGCTTTTTTATCTCACGACAACGAAAATACGTGACGAAGTGGTTGGTTCACGCGGTTCATTGTTGACAAGGGCAGCGAAGCGGTCGTTTGGCTGTCCAGGTTATCCAGCCTGGCCCGGTTCGATGATTAAAGCTCTTTTGTTGCCTCTCGAACGTGCTCTAAAGAGTATTTCGAGGGTAAACTTTTTATTGAACTATATACAGCGGTAAGCATCGAATGCAGACGTGTTTGGTTTCACTAGAGCCCCATGTCACTCCCCTTACTTTTTTAAATATTTCTTCGTGATGTAGTTGTCCTCTGTTGTCTGTACACTGTCATCGCTCCGCTGGGCATGCGCCTAAAGAAGAAACTGCAGGTCGTGATATTCAGACTATTCCACGACTACCGCTTCTACGAGAATCTTGTGAATGCACTTATAATGCTGGTGAGCAGCAGCGCAAGCGAATACAGTGAAGAGTGTCAGATTGAACTATGCACTGTTAGTTTGTCTGCTTGCATGAGGAATTGTACTTTTGCACATGACAAACCGCTCCGTGCAATGCGTGTACAGTGTGTTGTGTCTTGATTGATTGTCATCTCCGAAGTGTGCGCCGTGCGAATTGGTGTAATCAAAGTATTGGCTTTCTTTTGTATATACACCATACTGTCAAATCGTACGTATGCTCATAGTGACGTACGTACATATGGCGCTCTGAACATATGCTCAGAGCAGTGTTTTTTTTTAGGAAGTGGAAGGCTGTTAATTTTCCGTTTGCATGCTCTGCATTGAAATTACTAACTGACGTTTCTTTTTTTTTGTTTTATCTTATCTGCAGTTGTGGAAGGAGTGGTGTCTTCCCTAAGGCACATGCATCGGCGTGACGTCACCGAGATCATGGTGTCCGCGTCGCGCGTCCACAGGGACTCCATCGAAGAACCCGCCTTTCTGCCCGGCAACGACAGGAAAATGGCGGCCGTGCTGCAGCGCCCCCTGAAGTGCGGCACCCGTGCCGGGCGCGGCCATTTCTTGTTCATCGGCGTGCGTATGCTGGGAAAGCCTACGATGCGCTGCGCGCCCAGACTGCAATACTGGAGAAAGCTGAGGGACCGTGCCATCAAAGATGGGACGAGTATGTGTACTCTGCTCTGATCTGCAGCTGATCGTGCCAAAAGGAATCACAGAACTGCTTCGTCACCGTCTATATAGCGTCTTGCTGCATACTTCATTAGCCAAGCCAAGCACTCCTTGCGGAAATTACAGGAGGTGTCGTTGGAGTGCACTAACAGAGTACACTGTACACTCTTCTAGTACACTGTAGTTTCGTCTGCTTTGCTGCGTCGATGACGACAGCGTTTCGGAAGTGGCGTGTGCTTTTCGAACGTTTCCAAAACAAAAGCCGTGGTCTGCTTCAAGAACGTCAACGACAGAGTCTTCCGGATATGGCCCTTACATTTCGAAAGTCTTCGATCAAAGCTTGTGAAGGGGAACACAACAGCGAAAAATTTTGGATGCGGCTTTGAGTTTTCGAACGGCTGAAGCTGTGGTCTCTTCGGGGCTTAGAACAACAAGGGGGAAATGTGAGAAAGACGACGGCACGTGTTGTTTGAGCTTCTTGGTGATTTATGGACACCCATTCCTTAAGAATGTTACAGAGCAGGATGTGCACCCGTGTTGTGAGTGCGGGTGTGATTGTTGCGACGATTTGAAAAGTTTATGCCTAATGAATGTATTTACGTGCATGATATAGAAAGGACAATAATTAATTGTTTTGCAAGAGCACTGGCAGAAAAGTGAAAACGGCGCACCTCTGTGTGCGTGAGCCTGGGGCATGGTTAAACGAGTGGCCCTTCAGCCCTCTGTTCCGTACTACGGTATTTCTAGGCTCGAAGCCTCTTGTATTCGCAGTCTCTGCCCAGTCGCTTCGTGCGTGAACTCAGTGATTGGTGCGCCGTGGACGATTCTTGAGGCCACACTGCCCGTTGCGCGGAAGCCACTGATTCGTTGTGATGGCACCAGGAAAGTCCACGAAGAATAACCTTATAGATTGTTTGTCACAGCCCTGTTGTCTCTATAGAGCTAGGACAACTGCTTCAAGCTGCTCCTCCGCTTTGATGTGACCTAGCCATGTCTCTTAAACAGAGACATATTCTGGGAAAGTGGCGGCGCCCTCATTCGGCAACCGGGTCTCGCGTCAGAGTGCACACGACCTCAGTGATCGGCTCCGGCAGCGCGCAGTCGGAGCTGATCGCGGAGGCTGTGCTGTCCAGCTATAACTAAAAAAAAAACCGTGCAGTGAGTTATGCTTTGGCGATCAACAAAACTGAATCGCCCGCCAAACAGGCTCGTAATAACAGTATAAGTTAGCGTTAAGCTTACTCTAAAGCTGCACTGTCTTTGCAAGTAAAAGAAGCCCAGTTTCTTCCATGCATACCACCCGATGTATACCAGTGCCAAAGGTGCTACGGTCAAGGGTTCAAGAGTGCCAGATTTCACCTGCCCCCTCCCTTTTTTTACGGAAACAACAGCACAGGGGAACACAAAAGTGCAATGTCAGCGTGTAAATATAGTAAACTATATATATACACGTGTTTCTGTAAATATCACCAGGTCAGTAGGCGAGAACACGAAAGTTGGAAAGGCGTGTACAGAGCCGTGGATGTACAGGAAATTATATTTGGTGTTTGTTTGTTTTGTGGCAATTTTAGCCCTATACTAATAACGCCGCGCCTTAGCAATTTTTAGCTGATCTCCCATTGTTTTGCTGTACTAGAAAGGAAATGAAGTTTGTGGCAAGTTTGATTGAGTGTGTTTGGCTTCTGTCTGAAATAACGTACGCTTGTCGCTTACTGTGTTGATTAGCCGTGTGCACAATTCTCCAGTCGCTTATTATCGGGACCAACCTTGCATTACGTTTGAATCTAGTACAACATGTCGATCGTGTTTGATTGGGTGCCTGAACTTTCGTCACAGCGCATGCAAAAGCAAGCCTGTGACGCCTCGAGATGTTCAAGGACGACAAAAAAAGCCAGCGAATATAAAAAACTAAGCCAGATTACGCTTGTTCCGCATGTGTTGCCTTTGTAGATACTGAAGAGAATGTACAGCGCTGTGTATCATACTGTAGATAGCCCAGAATAAAGTATGTGTTGTTGCAGAATGGCTGTGGCATTTTTTTTACGTGCGACGTTTTGTGCGCATCTGTGTACAGTCTGCAGCATTATAAACGCTGTTATGACTTGTTTCCGTGGAACATGATTGGTACAGAAAAAAAAACTAGCAGTATATATCTACGTTCTGCGCTACAAATGTCATTGAAAGACGATAGTTTACTGCCAGCCAAGCGACCATTTTGTTTTGCTTTGCCTGAGAGAGTGCCTCCTCTATGCTGAATCGGCCGTATCTTGTTTGCAATATTAAAATGGAGAAGGCGCTGCGCGAGTATGAACGACATCTGGCAGTGCCGTCAGGAAACATAAGCTTGTGCAGAGCCCAGGGTTGCTTCCAGGTGGCAGCACCATATCGTTGGCAGAGCAGCGCTTTTTCTCGCACACCGCCACATTTTCAGCGCAGCGTTAGAAACACTAGGGTATTTAGAAGTCTATGTATTTTCGAGGAAATGAATACACCACCTAATACCTATTGATGTTGCGCCTCAGATATGCGTAATATTAGGTTTTTGATAGTAGACAATGTTCGCAAGTATAAACGCAGCCTCCAGTTCAATGTGGCTGGGCACTGAGCAAGTGCTTAAACTTTGGCCAGGTGGCTGAATCGTGTGGCAACAGACAAATTTTTGGGCGTTCAAGCATCCTAAGCAAGACTACTGTATTAAAAAAAGGTAAATGATTCTATCATCGAGCTGACACCGCACAAGAGCACTGCTGCATTGGCGTAGACCGTATACTCTTTCCGCTTTCTCATAACGTCGCTTCGGTCAACCGAGCTCCGCGGTGATGGCTTTCGTTACGAATCTTCCCGTCTCTTGCGTGTCTTCCTGGTACAAACCGCTATTTAGCTCGCCCCATTTACATCGGGAGCATGGCCGAGAAAGAACCTCTGCTATGCGCAGACTGTAACCAGTTTGGACACAAACTTCCATAACATATACATAACTATACCTAGGATTCTGCCCGTATTCTGTCGCGAACTGCCGTCATATATAGGACTGTTCTCGAAAACTTTAGGGCTTATAGAAGGTACCAAAGTGACAGTGTTAAAGAGCTCGTTTAGCATATAGTTTCCGGTGTCGGTGGCGTCGTTGGTTGTGAGCGGAAAGACATCTTGTCCACAATAAAAAAAATCGATCGAGAATATATTTGGTTGGAGTGAGAATCGAACTCGGGCAGTCTGCGTTGCAATTCCATTGCTTGAAAATGCTTCGAAAAAACAATGTATGAATCACGCAGTCAAAGGAGTCTCCTTAACGCATGCAATATCACGCGGCAGAAGCATAGGATCGCGTCAGGCATCAAAACACGCGAATCGCTCTACGAGTGGGGTTTTTAAGGGCGCACCCGTCACAAAATTCCAACACACAATCATGATCAGCTGCAAAAGCGTCCCAAAAGTGAGCAGCTGTGTAGATTCACGTATTGTCCTACGGCCTTGTAGTGGGCCCATCGCCAATTCGCGAAAAATGACGTAGCAATTTTATCGTGTTTTATTTTTTTCCCTCTTTGTGCCAAAATAACCATATTCTGTTGAAAACAAAGGAATCACCTTTTCTTTCTACCCTGCATAGTCCTCAATTGCTCGCTTACATTACCCGCCGGATACTTCGCCAATCTCCCTTAGTGGGTAAGCGCCACAACAAAGGAACAAGCAAGCAAGCAGACTGAACTTGCAGTAATCGGATAGTTTTAAACGTCCACTGTTACGCGCGCAGTACTACGTTTCCTAGCGGCACGGCTGATGCACGCACTGAGAACGAAACTATGGACTAGCACTTCAGAAGACGGCGCACATGGGGCCCGGTCACGCTGTTGCGTTCACCCTTAAAGACGAAGCTCTGGTGTCCTCTAAGTTATGCTTCAAACATCCTTCGTGTAACGCCAATGGCGTAGTTTAGGACGTTGTGTATAATGCGGTGCTCTTATGCGTCCAGAATTCAAATGCGAAATTAAATAATAGGTCGTGGTTAACACACATGTCCACGCAAACATCTGCGCGACTTTCCAGATCGAAATTCAGTTCACAAGGTCAAACCGTTCTATTAGGTAGGAAAGTACAGAATCGTCGGCACTCACGCAACGGCGACCGGCATGTCGGAGCCCCGGCGTGACTTGACGCGAAGTTCAGATGTCACGTTAGACAGATTTAGTTGAGCGTCCTCGAAAGCTCTACGAACGCAGTCTGCTATTGGAAATGGCTGGCATCCTGCGTCCGCAGAGCTGCTGTGGATGCTCAACTAAATCTTGTCTATTCTCAGTATATCGCGTGTGTCTACTACTATCTGTATATAGCGTGCGAACAGGTTCTAGATCTCTTCATACCTTGACAGACGCCAGAACGTTACAGCGTCTTCGTTATGATGAACCAGCTGAACTGCTACGTGATTACGCTGCTGCGTACCAGGAGCAAGTTATCAGCATCAGAATACTGGCACCATGTGCCACTAAAGGTAAACCCCCTATTGGCCGAAAACATCGAGGAATTTGCGTTCTGTGACGCCAGTTAGTCTGCCGATGCTGACGATTGGACTAGAGTTTCTAGATGTCAAACATTTTATTTCGGCGAATCACAGCTGCGGTTCGCACACTCGTCAAAGAGATAACACATTAGCTTTGTAAAAAGTAATAAAAGTAAATAAAAGTGCACTCACAAAGAGCATGTCAACGTATTCAGTGGGTTGCACATTATATGACACTACTTCGACGTCCTGCAGCGCCAAACGCTTCGCCATATAGCCTCTGTGAAACAATACCCTGGAAATATATCTTCAAGATGAGACCACGTTCATTCACTGGCTGAAGAGTGTCTGGTAAAAGTTGTTCATGCCAAAATTGCAGATTTTTCATAAAAGAGCATTCACACTATTTACAACCGTTCTTTGATTTTGCGTTTGGTGCATGCCACAGAAAAAAAAATGTGACCAGTATGACATTGTCTTTCATATAAAATAACAGCTTTTAAAAAAGCAGTTCTATTTCTAGCCTAAACAGCATCTTTACCCAGGGCATGTCGTAGCTTGCTGGTTTTCCTCTACCCCTTGCAAAAATTGTGCAAACACAGCTAACTAGCAATGTTCTGGTACAGTGAGAACACCTTAAGGGTAATCGCTTTCATATGTAGTACAGGCCTTGACACCGAAGCTCCTCAAGTAAATCTTATTCAAAAAGACCATGAGGTTACATTGCTGTTCTGAGTTCAGGTTATCGGTAAAAGAACATGGCACAACCTATCGTAAAATACAGAACATTTTTTTTCTTTTGCGAATGACCGCCTTTGCACGGTGTCAGTAAGTATAGATTTTAGTACACTCAAATCTCACGATATCAGCAAAAAGCTTCGAAAATATGACAAGGTCACTGACCTGGCACCTGCAAAAAACGCTGGTCACAAAGCAACAAGAGGAAGCCATTGCAGCGAGCCAGAAAAAATGTTCCAAGGTAAAGGAGCGTTATATTAGGTCTTATCTTCAACAACAGTACATCAAGTGAACAAGTAAAACAAAACGAAACTAAATAGAAATATAGCAAAAAGCTAATCGCAAGCAAATGTGGGCAGTTTGAGAGCTCATTTGAACCGCCTTAGTGTAACACAACAAGAAATTTACGAGGTATTCACTGTCACAGAAGACGTTTAAGAGCAGAAAGGAAAAAAAAACAAATGAAAGCTGCTCACTGATGTTTGGTAAAATGTAATAAACCAGCCTTAAGCGAAACCACCCTGACCGCCCCCCCCCCGGCTACCTCGGGACCTTTTATGCATGTGTCAATCTTGTACATCCTTACATTATATCCCCTTTGTAAATATCACAATCTGCTTTGAAAATCCTTCCAGAGACTCAAAGATACAAAAAAGGTATAATTGACTACTTTTGTCCAGGTACTACCAGACAGCACACAAGGCAGGTCAAAGCTCTAGCACATAACATAGTTAACAAAAAATAATGAGTGTATCGAGAGACGCTCCCCGGTTCGAAAAGCTGGTGCACCAGTTTTTGCTACACTTAAAAAAAAAACTGTCAGCGCGATGCTTAGCAGCACAACTCCCGGACCACTTTGTCGAGTGTTCATCGCTTTGTCAACGGAGTCACTATCCTTCTCATGTCGCGGAAATTGAGCTCCTTTGAAGTCCCAAGGTCGGTCACGAAATGACCGTAAAATAAAGCCCAGGCGACCTCAAGGTAGCCAGGACTACACATATGTCTCATATGCACGAACACTTTCGTCAAAACCTCCTGCCAGCAAGGAACACCCACAGGCACACGCGGGTCGTGGTTCTGCCCTAAGACCTCACAAAACACACACACACATCCACGGGCACATCAACCGAATGAGGCACTGCGCCACAGAAAGGCGAGTCTCTCCCTCTACATTACTCGCAACGTCCACACGAGCGCACACGGGCGGTCAACTTGCCGAAGGTATCCCAACACGTCCACAGGCGCACCAACAAAGCGAGGCAGAGCTGTCCTACTGTTACTTGCCGTAGAATTTCTTGTTGAGGAAGAATAGCAACAGGTTGTTGTTGACGCGCGCCCTGTCGCAGAGGCTGGTGACGGCCACCCCCTCGTACTGCTGCCGCAGCAAGTCCTGGATGTCGAGGGTGACCTCGTCCGTGCTGACGCCGAGGAACTTCGTGCGCACGCTGAACACTCCGGCGCGATCGGTGGGCGTGATCTCGAAACTGACGTTCTTCAGCTGGTTCGTCTCCAGTCCGGAGACCTCGAGCAAGATGCCCTTCTCGTGCAGTTTCCAAGCTGAATACTTGAGGGCGCTCCGGGACCTGTCATGAAAGCAAAAGTAAACTTTGCCTTGTACTCCATATTACCAAGCGAACGCATGCCATCATGAGAATTGACGAAATTCAGCCTTTTACCAAATAGCATGCATGCGTTTTTATGGCACCAGGTCCAGGAATGACCAAAGAGCGCCAAAAAGTAATGGCTGTTATCTATTACGAGCGGGAGATTGAACGTCGGGTGGGCAAACGACACTATACGATGTATAAAACGCGGCTGCAACAAGCACGTGCAGAAAGACAGAGTTGATTGGCGGAACATGGGAGAGGCCTTTATCCTGCAGCAGGCTCAGTCAGGCTGGTTATGATCTGTTGCACGCGCTGTGGTACGAGTAAATGCATAAATAACTACAAGCCTAACCATAAATGAATCCGCAAACCCAGGTATAGTGTACTCGAGCCACTCCGACGTTTATATGCACACGTATTCTCCAGAAAGTGGATAGGACGATTGTCGCCGCTGTGGCTCAGTTGCAAGGTAGAGGATCGGGCGCGTTATTCCAAGGTCGCAGGTTCGGTCTCTACCAGGAGCAAGTTATATTTTTTCATATTTACATTGTCCATTAGTTCTCACCTCATTGTCTGTTCTCATTAATAAAGACCACAATAGCGGTCACTTGAGCACTTACTTCAGTGGCTTGAGGTGCTGAACATCTCCGGCCGACGGCGCAGCGCCTCCGGGACCGAAGGACTGTCGCCTGGACTTGCCCGCGGATAAGTTGGCCAGACAGGCGTCCACGTAGCGCTGGTAGTAGTCCAGCGTCTCCTCGTAGTAGCGAGTCTTGACGTCCAGCTTGTGCTGCGTCTCGGCGAGGTTGGCCAGTTCCCTCTTGCGGTTGACGCGGTGGTTGCGCTTCTGCAGGATGTCGGTCGCGATGCCACTGATCAGGGCCTGCGAGTTCATAGGGAGAAGAAAAGCATATTCACTGCGTTGAACCAGCGATGTAGGAAACTTATTTCAAGGGAGGAGGAGGAGGGGGCACGTCCTTGATCCGTATTGTGAGGGCCGTACAGGCAAGTGTGGTCGGGTGTCGATTTGTGCTACGTATCCTAAGTTCCGGAAGGGGCGCATGCCCCATGTGCCACCTCCTGGCTACGTCACTGCATTGTGGTCAGAAGTATACATACTTGCATTCTAGCCCGAAGCACGAACACTGCTTGGTCGCCGACGGCCAGAATCTGCCCATCAATGTGCACAGATTCTACAAAAATGACCTCCGAGGTTCAAACAGAAGCGATGTGGGTGCTGAAAGTTTCACAGCACAGTGAAATGTGTGTGTGTAGAGGGGGAGGGGAATTACTAAGTTTAGCCTTTTCATGTTCTAAAGCTTTAAGCGTTCTAGACACAAGATCTAGATTTACTTTGGGCACCCTGTCGCCTTTCTGGCGTCAATGACGCATATCCAAAACGAAACCATGGGTGCTGGTGTTCCAGCACTGGCGCGGTATTGAGATCTTTGAAACCGCAAGGCCTCTTGCCATTCGAACTCCCTCCATATAACCGGGTGGCTTCAAGCACGGCTCACTGCGGTGTCACGCACGCGCAGTTTTCATGTGGCGCTTCCCCAGGCTTGCATTTCTAAGGTTTCAATAGCAGCCGTGGGCGGCTTTACCACAGTAAACCAGTTCGCACGCTACAGGTGCTTTCTGTGTCTATTAACATCCTTATAGTAGGCTGTTTTGAAACACGATAACAACCACGACGAGGGTGTTTGGGTCTGCCATACCACCCATATACCGTGTTAGCTATAGACACGACAAAATACCCCTGAGGGTGCAAGCTGCTTGACTGTGCACGGCCGACGATAGTGAAGAGAATATTTCCTTGCGACACCGCAAGGCAGGGGACTGCTCACCCGAGTTAACGAGCTGCATGTAACTGAATTTAGCCTTCATATGGAGCCGGAGAGTGAGTAAAATGTTCAGGTGTGGGGTAGTTTGAACAGAATATTGTACACTTGAGCTTCGTCTTCAACAGTAGATCGCAATAGCGTATCGAGACCTCGTACGCATACCTCCTAATTAATTCACCACGAAAATCCGGCGTACATCATAATTACAGCCGAACGTTCACGTCCGGAGCCGGTTATATATCGGATGAGCTAGGTCCGCTGCATTTGGGTTATTCATTACGTCTGTTTTGCTCGATTGTCTTGAACATACGAAGGTTATCTACTCTGGACTATGTGGCCGTAATAATTCGGACAGCAGATGGTCAATTATGAGACAAAGCGACATCCGAAACGGCTACATACGGTTATTGTTCTTGGTTTAAGTGAAAGTCTCAAATAGACATTTTGAAGATGTAAGATTTACGCCTCAAATGCGCTTGCAACAGTTACTAGACTAACTCCGACATAAACTGATCAGTCAAACAAGTGCTCAACGTATACTTCGAAACATTCTTTAGGCACTACAGCGCCAGCGTTCAACGACCACCTCGAACAATTTTCGAAAGTTGTGTAGAGAAGTGCCAAAATGCCCAAACGTCACGTTGACCGAGAGGTGACCACCGGTTTTACGAAAAAATGACGCAGCTAACAACCCCCCTTTCCCCACCACAAGAAAAAAGAAGAAAAAAGATTGCTTTCGCACCGCAACCGTATACAGCCGGCCGAATCTTTGTACGCAAGCGGCGACTACTATTCCGTGCGTGAACGCCATACGACGGAGGAGAGTTGCAAGCATAGCAATGCTAAGCGCATGCCCACAAATGTGACTCAGCTGAGCCCTAAAGCATGAGTAGGCGCATTGTAGAGATATTTTTTTTTTCGAAGATGAACATTGCAGCCACAAATCGAGGAAATCACTTTGCAATATACGCCCACGCTCGCGCTGATAAGTTCTAGAACTGAGTCAATCTGCAGTGCGCCGATAAGAAAGAATCAGAGCCCGGCAGACGACGAGCCGAGCTGTGCACGCTTTGTTCGCGTGCGCTTATTCTGGCCCTGTTTGCAACTCGGTTCCGTCGTGCGGCGCTGACGCACAGAAATGTCACCTCTCGCGAACTATTCGAACTGGCCGGCTTCATATGTGTCTCACATACTGTGTTCAAGCTAAGGCAGTCACGGCACTCGTATAAGGACGCTTTCAGCAACACGCTCGCGCAACTGCAACCGACAACGCATAGAGTTTTTTCAGTATATACTAGAGGGAACTCTGGCGCTAGTGTCTATGGGAGCTGCAACACACGGCGCTTCAGCGAGCATGGGAAGGATGGGTAGTACACACATTTGTCTAATCTTCGTACTTCTGGCCTGCTTTTGGCTCCGTGTGTGTTCGTGTGGCTTGAAGCTGTTTTTTCGCGAAAACATAAATGAGCAAATGTTCATCGTTTCCTCTTCACAACCTTATTCTTTTAGGCTTGCCATTTCGAATCAAGTCACTAAGTTCAAAAGGGTTTGTTCTTTCTTTCAGAACAAAACCGTAACCATGGAGCAATAAACGAAGCCGCAAGTACGATTCGCCACCCGCAAGTACGAAGACTAGGCAAATGTGTGTACTACCCATCATTCCCATGGTCGCTGAACGATCGCAGCGCCAGAGTGCCCTCTAGTTAATTTTGGGAAACTATGCGACAACGGGTTGCGACACGTGAGGGAGACGCAGGCGCTCATCGGCACGCATCGGCAGTACGCGGTACTCATGTTGCTCCTGTCATGTTGAAACTTGTCCCCCACCCGCAACGGTCCACGTTGGGTCGGTCGGCAGGCCGGCGGTCAGTATTGTCTGCCGTGTTATGTAGCGTTTTCAGCTGGTCCGTACGGATTACTTGCGGTTATCCCGCGTCAAAGAACTGTGTTCGTCGTGTTTCCCAACAAAGTTTCGTGCAACAAGCCGACGGTTCGATTCGACAGTGGCCGGATGTGCTCGCCATCTTCGTTACCGATAGGAGGCAGCCGAAAACGTCGCACGTTCGCGTAAGTGAAATGAATTGTGCCCTATACACTCATCGTTTCTACTGGAACGTTTTACAATCGTAGTTAAAACGGTGAATATGACACTTTTTTGCTCGTTGCTGAATCTTGGTCGAACGCGGAACCATGGAGCACAGACCGGTGGGAATCGTAAGCCAGACTGACTCGACTAATTTGAGATAAACGTGAAAATGCGCTCATTGGCGCGCACGCCAGCACGCATCGGCTTCAGCAGTACGCGTACTCATGTTGCTCGCCTCGCCTGTTACTGCTGTTATGATTATTTTATTAATACATGACAACAATCGACCACATCTTTAATTGGGAATCTGATTTGTTGTATCGTACGTAGCTTAGTTGCTTCTTTCTTGTAAGCAACTTTTGTTCGCTGCTGTTTGTGCATGACATCAGGCCTGGCACCGCACTTTCTAATGCGGCCACCAGTGCTGTACACATACATCATGGCATCAACAGTGTTCGTGAAATTTCGTGTGAAGTGTTTCTTTTTGAAAGTCATTCCGAGATTTTAGAATATAGATTGATGTACCCCGTACTATCTGTCACTTCCTTGCTTGCTTGATAACTTGCAGCATACTGCGTTGTCAGAAAATCCAGGAAGTTAATGCTATACAGAGTACAGAGGCAATAAACCTGGCAGGTACCAAAGCAGAAGAGTGGGTAGATTTTTTTTTTCGGGGGGAGGGGAGGGGGGCAGGTGTATGGTCATTTTGCCCCATCTATGCCATGCCGAAGAAATCAATTCGGGAGGGGGTGGCACGAGCCCGCGGTGTGGCAAGTCACTGGCTACTCATTTGTATCGAGGTGTTAATGAAGCGCCGATCTTGTTTGCGTGCTATAATAGAACATTCGCTCTTGTTATGTGCATTAAGTCGAGTCCACGTGGTCGAGGCTCGCGTAGATGTACCGGACGTAGTGTACGCGTCACCCTCGACCAATCTCGTTTGGCGTGGGCGAACGTTCCACTGGAGAGATTTAGCGCAGCATATACTCAAGTTACCTGCGTGCGCACGCTTTTGTGTTCCTTTGCACTCGCCGCCGCAACTGTGGAGAATGCGAATGAACACAAGGGCTCACAAGCGATGCGTTTGTGGTCCCAGCAATAAAACTATCGCAAAGCCTCATAATAGGGCAATGCATGTCCGATGAACGTCCGTTAATGACAACGATATTCCCACGTACGTACATACGTCCAATGCATGTACTGAAAAGGCTAACTGCACGTCTATCCTGAGTCCGAATGTGCCGCGTGCGGCGTGACCTTCCTTACTGCGCATGCACGTCCGCTCGCCCTCTCTCGCCTCGCAACGTCGACGCAGGGAGCGTCTGCTAACCTACGCTCTCTCCACCTGTCTCTCCGCTAGGCGCTCCTCCCTCACGGCGTTTACCAACACCCCCTAGATTTTGTTGCGTTTACACCCCCCGTTACGCATGCACTACACTTCCCCTCTCCTTCACTCCCCTCCTCTCTCGCCTCGCAACGCCGATGCAGGCAGCGGCTGTGAGTGGACTGCGGGTCTCTGGGTCCAATGGGAGTATTCTGTCTCTCATTGCCCTTTAGCGGCGATTGGCATGTTCCAGAAGGAAACACCGGTCCATCAGTACGTGCTTTGCGCCTCCCTAAGTTTGTCTCCTGCGCAACGAAACGATGAGCGCCAGTGTCGCCGCCAGTGTAAGTGTTAGCACCCGTTGCTTCGCATCTACACATGGTTTCCTTTAGCGGTAGATGGTGTAATGTTTTTTTTATTTTGCTATCCATCGGACGTTTCACGGATAACCAGTCATACGGACGACTGTATTATAGCTAGCCGCCGATTTCTGGGAATGTATATATGTCCAAAATTGGCATACCAATGGATGTTCATAGGTCTCTCAATGCCCATTGGGCTCAACCATGCCGTAAGGTAACTAACGACTGTGCGCGTAAGATAAGGTCAGCTATCGTTCCCATTTGGTAGGAACGAATCCACTCCCATATCTGAGATATGGACCAATTTATAAGGATTATCAAGGAAATTAGATATGGTACGAATACAGTTATGCGCGGGCGGGTAGCCAGCGAGAGATCCACGGTCCGTGTGTTGGAGATCCTGCCGTGTAGCAACGGGTGGGACGCTTCTACCCTCTCGATACTGACGTCGTTGGGCGCGAACTGCGAGCCGCACTTCAACACTCACCCGGTAGTCGTCCTGGGCAGTGGCGATGCCGCGGCCTTCCAGAATGTCCAGGTTGCGCAGCAGGGCCTTGCGGAAGGCTGACAGCGAGCCGTACTTGCGGCGCCCCAGCAGGCTCGACGTGGATACCTTGGGCACGCGCACCGCCGTCTGGGCCTCGAGGAAGGCGCGCTCCACTTCGGGCGCCACTTCCTCGTGCAGCATCTCGTCCACCGTCTTCGCGTTCCGGAACACCTGCTCGGAAAAAGCCGCCCGTCAGCGTGTTGCCTATTTTCCGTAAGGCAACTGGGCGCCTGTTAAGCAGATATTTTCTTGCGTTCGTATATTGCGACGTGCTTTGCTAAGGTCATGAAGCATTGTGACGCTTCTCCATGCTCTGCGTCGCTTTAGTCATTGAGACGGCATAGCTCGAGAGAGACGCCTGAAAAGCAGTTGACATACTCTACTGCCGTGCGCCTGAACGTTGAGGGGCGCCTTCATAAAGTGCGACGTGCGGGAATCTCGGCAAGGCGATGCAAAAGAGTCACTACACCCCCCTCCCCCGGCCACACCAGTGCCCCCCTTCACCACCACGATGCGACAAGGCTTTGCAGCTCCGAAAACAAGATCATGTCGATACACACTTTGCCATGTTCCGGTCACGCGGCATCTTTTGCTACTAATTAGTGCCATCCTACAGTGGTTTGTCGTATATCTATGTATATATCCCCACGTCAGCATTCTCACCTTAAGCATTTCGACGAGCATATGCTTGGTGTCCCTGAGCAGCTGGTCGGTCTCTGGAACGTCTTCTTCTTCCTCGGAAAACTTGCCGTACAGGGACAGGGAGACCTTGGCCGCCGCGAGAACCCCGACGTCCATGGCGTCGGGCGACGACGCGCCACCGACCAGGTCTTCGAGCGTCGGTTCGGGACCGAGGTCTTGCAGGAGTCCGTGCATGGGATCCTTGAAGAAGAGAAGAACGTTTGAGAAGAGAGCTTTTAAGTGAATTTGTAGCGCATGCACGTGTAGCATTGAAGAAAATGCGACGCAGTGAAAAACAGAAAGCAGTGATATGGACGCACACGTGAGTGTTCGCAGTCCCCTGTCATGACCGTCGGAGTTGAATCGTCCTATATGCTGCGGCAGACCATATCGGTTGGAAGCCCTCACTAGTTAGGTCCTCACCCCTCCCTCACAAATTCTGCTCAAACATGCACGTAATTGATTAGGTGCAATATACTGTAGTACTTGTAATCAATGACATGTATGCTTTTGAACTGATCGAATATTTTTTATTCAGTCAACGTTTTAATGAATTGTATGAAACTAAAAATTTCCTGGCGCTGCGGCTAATATTTTGGTTGAAGAAAATAATGATTTAACGTCCCAAAACCACCATATGAATATGTGAGACGCCGTATAGTGGAGGACTCCAGATATTTCGGCCCCCTATGGTGGAAGGAAATAAACTAAAGATGATCTTGTCAAAAAGAAATCGGAAGACCGTACATTGAAATAACATCGGCGCCTCGAGTAAGTTAAGGGCCCCTGTAAGACTTCCGAGGCGACAGCCTTAGATGCCTCATCTAACGGAAAATCTGGACGACGGTGGTGACCGTTCCGCGGTGGAGTGGACGAGTGGCGCACAAAAATCGCGTGATGGCATCATGGTGTCACAGATCACAAAATTTTGTGACGTCACAAATTCTTGGGTGATACCATGTTACGTAACGACACATGACGCCGTTTTATAGCACCCTCACTACACAAACATGGAGCACACGGCCTCCGAGATGGCGGGCGCGCGGCGGGTTACGCCATACGCCCGACATCTCGGAGGCCATGCCGAGCTGCATATAGTTCCAGTGGACGCCGCGGGATGCCACCACATGCACGCACGCGGGCTCACTATATAGAGTAGGCGTTGGCTTACGCGATCGCACCGAAAGTTTGCCGCGCTCGCAGAAAAGGAAAAGAAGTGCTCAATGTCACGACGCGCGCTGACGAGCGTTGTTTTGTCCCCTTGTCCACAGGCGTGCACAGAATTCTCTTTCGGGGAGGGGGGGTGAAAGTCCATCGCAGCGCTCCCCCTCTATAAAAGTCTTAGTCAATGTATGGGGCTGATTTTGCGTCCCTCCTCCTCTTAGGTGACTGCCCTCCCCACCTCATGCACATGCCTATGCACTTGTCATCTTTCGATTGATTGATATGTGGGGTTTAACGTCCCAAAACCACCATATGATTATGAGAGACGCCGTAGTGGAGGGCTCCGGAAATTTTGACCACCTGGGGTTCTTTAACATGCACCCAAATCTGAGCACACGGGCCTACAACATTTCCGCCTCCATCGGAAATGCACTTGTCATCTTTCCCTGCGTAGCTTTCAGCGTGCTCGTTAGTGAGAAAGGGGAGAGAAAGCACGCACGAAATCGCTGTACCGCCGCACTTGACAGATTATAACTGGCGCATTCTGCAAAAATTTTGCGGCAATCGATTCGTGATTAGATAAGCTGTTTTAGTGAAGCAATCAGACGGTTATGTGGAAAAGTGTCGCACGGCCCCTTTAAGAGTGTCTCGCAAAGTGTCAAGTGTTTAAAAGTGAGACTCACGGCTCGATCTGAGTCTGAGTCCGGGTGAGTCGAGTCATGAGCGAGTTCACCGATATACGAACTAAAGCAAAGGCAACAATGGCCATACAATACCTTGGGGTCCGGCGCTATGTCGTCTTCGTGTTCCAGAAGCAGCCTGTGCGTACTCCGCAGCTCGAGCGCCGTTAGCGTGATGGTCGGCGGCGTGATGTACGTGGCCTCGGAGTAGCTGTCCACGTTGAAGCGCTCCTCCGGTTCCGAAACCTCGCAGGCATCCATGAAGAACCTACACCACGGAGGAACCACAGGAAAGAGAAGGCATCTGAGCTGCCATACACTTGGCGACGCCATGTGCGAAGGCCCTTGACAATTTGGAATCGCGGCAGCCTCTGTGGTGGTGCCAGTTCTAAAACCAACGTTGCTGAAACACGCACGCATCAAGCCCTTTCCAGTGTACCTTGCTATCACACTGCGGGCGACACCATACAGTATCTTCTCAACATTTCCAAAGGCCATATGTTGTACAGGCTGTGAGCAGCTAGTCATCAAAGCTCTGTTTTTGTCAACATGTGTACATATAAGCTCCTAATAAACCAAAACGTTCTGTAAATTCAGGTTCTGTAAATTAGGCTGCCCGTGCGCACAAATCATCGCCGTTCTCGGTCATGACTCATGACACTGCATAAGAGTTTCGCTATTCTTGCTAGGGACGGAAGAAAGCTCCGGAGAGTAGAAGAGAATGATGTTCAAGATTGTGAATGCCTATAAATGACACAACTGCCAAGTTACTCTGAGCTACACATACACAGATCGCTACGAAGGGCATCAGCCTTGAAAGATCGAAAATCAGTGTCAACAAACTGGTTTTCTCGGACGTACACCAAAGCTGTTCTTCGACCCTATTGCAGTCGTAGCCACGAACCAGGCTCTCCAAAACACCATCAAGCTCAACCATCGTATCGAGTCCCGCGTGGCTGCCTGGACTTGAGCTTAGTATGGATAAAGTCTGCACGTGTTAAGCACGTAGGCGTCGGCAGGAGGGCTGCAACGGGGGCGCTTGCACATCCCCTCCGCAAGCCACTACCCTCCACTCCATCGCGATGCAAGACGGCTTCGCATCCTCCACGACAAAATCTTGTCGAAGCCCATGCCTGAGACTGTCCTCACCCACTCCCTCTTTCGATACTGAAGTATTTTAGCAGTGTCAGTTAATTACAGTGATTACCCTGTACGGTAATCACCGTCATGTGGTGGTCGACGCGTAGCGTTTTTAAACATTAATCAGCGTTATGAGGTGATCAACGCGACCAATGGTCTCATAGGTAGACAAGCGGCATGCAACCACGACAATAGGGTATTATCGTATACCGTCGCGGTACAGCACTGCTAACACCAGACTGCTGCAACCACGCGCGCATATATGTATACCTGTGTAGGATTTCCCTGCAGGAGTCGATGAGGTTGTTGAGGCGGATCTGGTAGGCGTGCTTCTGGCGGTACGGCGCCCCCGACGTGGCCGAGCTGAGGATCTTGGAGATGTTGCCCAAGTTTCGACGCTGGACGTTGGTCACGGGGCACTCGGGCGCCAGCTTGACGACGCCGAACGACTCGGGTGCCACGATGCCCGGATTGAGGTAGCGATAGTACAGGATGTTGCCGATCACCTGTGTCCAGACAGTGCGAGTGGGAAAGATAGTAAGGCGTTGCAATATAGATTTACGACGTGCATGCGCCCATACCGTTGGCAAACTCCAGCTTATACTGAATGCCGATTTCGCTTGCATTGTACATATGCATGCATGTCTCAGCTACATAAGAGTGTGGAGTGTTTCTCTTAAGGGGGGGGGGGGAGGGCCCGCGAAGGTTTCTTGCAGCATCCCCTCCTCTCTATTATGCCAATACATGGGGATGACATTCCTCCCCCCCCCCCCCTCGAGTCGCAGCACTTCCCCTCCCTATTATGTCGATGTATGAGCCTGACTTTGCGCCCCCTCTTCTAGGTGTCTAAAAAAACGACCCCCCCCCCCCAGTTGCGCTCGCCTATACTCAGCTATCTGAAAATAGTCGAGGCACGAGCTAGCAGGCAATTGAAATGACACGTGCCATTAACCCTTTGCGACACGTGTTTACCGTTCATAAATGCCTGACACTTGTACGATTTCTTGCCAAGCGTCTGTACGCTCATTTGGAAGCATATTGAAATGTTTCAATAAACTAAAGCTCTTAGAGTGTCTTACCGCAATAGCAGTGCAACTAATATCTATCTAATGTACCACTAGTCATGCAGCATTTCTTGATAAAACTAATTCAATCATACTCTCAAAATTGAATCAAAAAGTTATCTACACATAGCAAGCGTTCCCAAAAATAATGACAAATATTTTGAAATTCCTGCCTAAACATCCTACGCCAAAGGTCTGGTTGCACTTTTTTACCAAAGAGATCGAAACTAGGAAAATGATTCACTCGGAAGTATTACAAACAACTTACGTAAAAAGAATACTAAACTTATCTTCATCTCGGAGTTCATTCCTTCTTTATATTTACAAATGCACTGATATCACAAAAGTCGCGTGTGCAACCCGTGTCGTGAAGGGTTATGTACTTACGTACTTATCAAAATATAGTGCGTACCATATGCGCAAAAAAGGGAACGGAGCGATGATAAATTCTACTAAATAACCACAAAAGACAAGCAAAATTTATTTTAAGAATGTTTAGTTCTACTGAAATGAAGACCTCTCTCAGAGAAATATAACTTCCAAGTTATTTGGAAGAGCGCCTCTGTGTAACTTCAGGTGATTTTATGTGTGTTCACACTCCCTAGTGAAAGCTCTGTTATTACAGGTATGCATTAAGGCATGAGAACACATTAACTCGCTCAGCTTCGTTATTTTGACCTGTCAACCTCTGCCGAGTTTCCTTTGCTCTCGGAAACTTGATTCCCCGCAAAGCCTAAAGGTGTTCGGCCAAAGTTTCAAGCTCGCATAAGGAACAAAAGGCTGGCAGAGAGCTGAAGTCGTTGAGTGATTTCCAATAGCTGGGCAATGGAATCCTTCAGCATGTCGACTATTTTACGATGGGCGCACGAGTGCTGCCATCTATACTGTCAGGCGAATATTTTGTACGTCGTGACGCGATGTTAACGCCGTGAAACGCCAAAAGCACCAACGCAGCCGTTGTCAAGCGCGTGCATTCACTGCGAAGCTGCCTGTTCATTTGGTTCTTAGTTGAACATTACGTCCTGACGGGCCACTAACAAGGTAATGAAACGTCCAAATCACAACTCAACAATTTCATCGCATGCGCTTACCGAAGCACTGCAGTTCGTTTGGTTGTTAGCAACATAGCCCAATATGGGAGAAGCGAAACCTATCCGTACAGTATGTGGACTGAACCTTGACCCAGGCACTTTGTCTCCGCTAGTTTTCCCAAGAATTGATTGATATGTGGGGTTCAAGGTCCCAAAACCACCATATGATTATCAGAGACGCCGTAGTGGAGGGCTCCAGAAATTTTGACCACCTAGGGTTCTTTAACGAGCGCCCAAATGTGAGCACACGGGCCTACAGTATTTTAGCCTTCATCGAAAGTGCAGCCTGCAGCAGCCGGGATTCGATCCCACGACCTACGGGTCAGCAGTCGAGTATTTTAGCCACTGGACCACCGCGGCGGGGTGTTTTCCCAAGAAGGGCAAGCCTTAGCTAAAGGATATGGTTCAATACCCAATGTCCACTTAACACGCGAAATCTGCAGAGTGACAGCCTACCTTTGTAATCTCCTCTCCTGCCGATTCTGGAAACTTCGCTTCCAGGGCTTTCTTGAGGACCTTGCAGAGGTAGAGCATTCCGTAGGGTATCTTGCTCTTGCTTTCCGCTATGGTCCGGGCGAACAGCTTGGACTTGTTCTCCAGCTGGGTGACCGAGGTGTGCAGCATCTTGTAGACTTCGTTGTGCTGCAGGGCCTCCTCCTCGGTGACGTCGTACTTGAGGCCGCTAGGCTTGCCCGACGTCGTCTCCATTTCGTTCACCCACTTCTTGTAGATGTCCACGGGAACGAGGTCGATCTTGAGCTCCCTGTCATCCAGCACGCCCCTGACCAGCGGCGAGAGGAGAAGCTCGAGGCAGTTGTGGCCCCCTCTGGTGCGGAAGAAGCCGACGATCATGCGCACGACCAGCGGGTTGCCGCGCAGTATGTCCGAGGGCTTCTCGAGCTTGGAGCGCACTTCCTCCTGCAGGGCGAACCGGAAGAGCCGCAACAGCAGGTACTCGTCACGCGGCGTCGAGCCGTAGTTGTAGACCGAGTAGATGACCGACTCGACGAAGTTGTTCGCCATGGCTGGCGGGACCACAAATATCAGCTTGGCCAGATAGTGGGGATCAACCTGGTGTGAGGATGAAGAAATAGCAATCTAGTTAGGTGAGGTCATCATTGGTGAATGAGAAAGCGCGACAGCTGCGAAGAGCCCTAGGGGCTTACAAGGTCGCTATTCACTCACACCAGTCACTCAATTTGGAAAAGAATCTGAACAGCGCTTACCCCGAAGAAGCAGAAGCTCATTGTGCTCCGTATTCATCACTAATAGCGTCTATGACTAACGGGGACCAGCTATAAAAAGCTGCTTGTTAGAGCGTTAACACGAATGTTCTTCAAAGCTCTTCTCAATACTGAAAAAAAAACGCCCACCGACCGATGACAAGAACATGCTCCTTGTAACAGTGAAATCGTTTTAGGCCACCCTGTGCCGTCGCCATATTCACTCAAGTCAAACCAACAGATTGAGGGTGAATCAAGAAATAATAAAACCAAATGAATTTCGGTGCAATACCGAAAGAGCAATTCGCGCTTTCATCAATTAAATTAAAAACAAACATTCATTACAAAATTTCCAAGGTTCTTAATGCATTCACCTAAGACGACTCTCAAGGTGAAAGTTACATATCAGTAGATATGTCTAGAGTTACTGTACACGCTATCGTTAGGTACAGGAAGTACAGCAGCTCTAGATGTGTTGAACAAGTTTTCCGCACTGCCTCCAGGATCGGACCAACCTCGGCCAATTCTACGCTGCCTCCACGATCGGTCCACATTTGACTAAGCTAGGATATCGTGATGACGTCACCATGAGACGCGGATTCATTGTGACGTCAGCATGACCTCATGATGTCACAAATTTCGCTATTGGTGACGTGATGATAGCGTCATCATGCAAGTTCTGCATTAATAGTGCTTACGCCGCTGACGGAGCACGCCGGTTCATTTTCGCGTTTGACGAGGCATCTAAAGCTTCTGCCCCAACCAACAGTGTCAGATGGTGTTTTAAGTAACGGAGTAAACGCTTGGTAGGATTACGGCTGCGCCAGCGGCAGATGCCGTGACCTGAGCGTTCACTGAAACGCCAGTGCCTGTACCCGCTGGCACCATATAATTATGAGAGACGCCGTAGTGGAGGGCTCCGGAAATTTCGACCACCTGGGGTTCTTTAACGTGCACCCAAATCTGAGCACACGGGCCTACAACATTTCCGCCTCCATCGGAAATGTAGCCGCCGCAGCCGGGATTCGATCCCGCGACCTGCGGGTCAGCAGCCGAGTACCTTAGCCACTAGACCACCGCGGCGGGGCGCTGGTCACGTGAGTTGGCTTTGCCCGATCAAGTGCAAGCGCCCGTGTTTACGACGCCGCAAGAGCTATCTAACCAATCGTGTACAGCTGCGCTAGACAGCAATTTTCTCGGCGTGAAACTGGCTGAATTCATCGCACTCACTGCTTCCTACAACAATGCGAACACTTTAACACCACTATACCCACCTGGAGCATGTAGAAGAGGTGCTGGTAAGCCTCCAGCCTCTGCCTGCTTCGGCGACTGAGCGCCGTCAGGCCTCCACCCGAGCTGTGCAGCCAGTCAGACTTGACGGCGGCGAGCGCGGTGTCCTTCTTCTTGGCCCGGTGGCTCATCACGTCTTCGAGGGTGATGCAGTTGCGGACGAGGAGGCCGATGCGGATGTCCATCTGAAAGACCTCCTTCTCGAGGCCCTGGTTGTGGCGAATGGTGGCGACCACTTTCTCCTTGAGCTTCTGCAGCTCCATCTCCTCGGACAGGTCGTGCTCGCTGATGTCCAGCATGTGCAGGAACCGCTGGAGCACGGGCACCGTGGGCGCCTGCCTGGTCAGCCTCTGGTAGTCGCGCAGGGCACGATGGCTCCGGTACCGGGTCTGCACGAACGTCACCACATCCTCCCGGTCCCTGTTCCGAGGAGACGAAATTGACGGTGACTTTACCCTCCGAGATTGATAGCACGGGTGAACGCATATATCCCCGAGACGCTCACTTGAAAAAAATTCCTACACAAGCTCCAAAAATACGAAGTACGAGTGCGTTATTATCTCCCGGCGTTTCTCGATGTTTTGGCACAATTAGAGACGCCAGCAGCGTGATGGTACGCTAGCGTGACGGTACGAGGAAATAAACTTCCGATTGATCCACATACGAAGCATATCCGCCGTGAATTGTCTCCCAGCGGTCTTCGTCATACAGTCACACGCCCGTTCTGCCTCGTCTCGCACCACTCTCGTGCATGATGAAGCAAGTTCACCTCATTTCGTACATTTCCGACTGCACAGGCGGAGGCAGCTGAAAAGCACGAAATCCTCAGTTCTCAGTTCTGACACAATCGAAGTGTTTTGTGAAGACGTAAGCGGCGAGTAATACGCGAACGAAACCACTCTCCAGTCCACAGTGATTTGGGGACCATTTCAGTGATATAACGGAATTTTCGGCCAGCTGGTGATGCATATCTGATAAAGTGAACAGCAATGGACGGGATAAAAGAAATCACGCTACGAGCGCTAACAACTGTGAACATTCGTTCGAAAACACTGCCGCAACTTGAACTGCACGAACTTGAGCCCAAAGACCTTCGGTAAGCAGAAACAAGAACGGAAGCAGGCGTGAGACGCCCTCGCGACAAAGTGGCAACTATATGCGCAACAACCAGTGGAAACTTGAAGCGTGAGCGTGCAGTCGACTGAGCGATACTGCCGAAGAAAACCTACAACTAAATAAAAAACTAACAAAACTGAAAAGAACGACACCGAAAGTTACCCATGAACAGGGACGTCGGCAGGACGGCGCAAAAGAGGGATTATTCTCCCCTCAAGCGCACCAGCCCTTGCTGCCTACCCAAGTCACCGAGCGCTCCCCTCCCCCCCCCCCCCTTTCTAATCCGCCCTCCTCTACAGGGCCGTAGCCAGGGGGTGCCACACCAGGCCCGTGCCCCATCGCCCCGAAATTTTTTCCGCCATGGCATAGAGAGCGAGATTTCAAGGGAGTGATCCTTGCGAAATTAAAAAAGATCCCCCCCCCCAAAAAAAAAATGGCTACGCGCCTACTCCTCTACCACGACTCAACGCTGATTCGCACCATCAAGACAAAATCCTACCGATGGACACGCACATTACTCACGCTTGTTCTTTGAAGAGATCGTAGCCGCGCGAACGCTATTGTCAAATCACGAATTCTCAATTAAATCGGTACACAAAAAAGCAACGCGTAAAAAACTTAAGAATAAATCCAAGCTCCACCCACGAGGCCACATAAACCTCACTTTCCGCGCCTCCGCAGTGCAAAAAAAGTAGTTCCCGAACAGCGACAATAATTTCGCTGTTCTCGTTCAGTTGTAACGTAAGAGTAGGGGTACAATAGGGCGGCTTCTCCGTACAACGTCTCACATCGTGGAGAAGCAAGCCTTGGGGAATGCACGCAGGCGTGGACAGGTCTTCGAGTAACAGAGCTGAACTATAGTTAGTGCGCATTAAAAAAATGACATGGATGCTAAAGCACAACGAGCAACAAAAGAGAGCGGTACGTAATACCAAAATACCTGAGAGCAAAAAAAAAAAAACTCCGAAGCATTTCCCCGAGGGTGAACATGGTTAAGTGCGAATGCACGGGGTGATGCTATGAGGGCATTGAGGGCAATGGCTAGTTGCACGGGGTCGTCCAAATCTATGTTCTCGGGGACAGTCTCGATGTCATCCGCGTCGTCTCCCCCTGGGCGCGTTCACCTTCACAAACGGCCGCATCATCGTCATCGAAGACACCCAGCCGACTCCAGTCGATGCGCACGCCGCTAGCGACATACAACGGCGCACGCTCCAGGTGCTTCAACCACGCCAAGATGTTACCGCGCTTCACCAGTCCGCGCCTGTACGTAGCCGGACTCACCAACCTCCGCTTCACGTGCACGTCTATCACAACGTCCTCGGGAACCAGCCGCGGAAGACACTCCACCACGCTCGGAACGTCGATGGGCACGTTCACGATCTGTCCCTTAATGCCATACTGACCGTTGCCCCGCGTGAGCCGCCTGATGCTCATGAAGGGGAGTCGAGGTGAGGTGAGGCGCTCTTCCACCGGGTTCAGATCGCGGAGGTCCACGGGACGAGGCGGGTACGCGTAGCCGTGGCTCTTGCTCAACGGCGGAACCCGCCCGGCCAGCAGGGACTCTCGGCAAGACGCACACACCCGGAATGCACCGAAGGGAGCCAGCCGCGGGTCTTGCGCATCCATGTCGTCGCATCGGTGTTCGCCCGACCGTCTTCCGAACTCGTTCCAAAGAACCCGCAACGCGTTCAACCTGTTGGTCTCGTTCCTCACGCCGGAAATGCAGCTCAGGTTGTTATCGAACCACAGCCGGTCACACACGGCGCAGCTGTGATTGAAGCTGCGATCCACAAAGTCGCGTTTGAAAGGCGCGTCCAGACGAGCAAAGTCCAGGGCTCGCACCCTCTCCCGCGCGGCACGTTCACTGGCTCGAACGGCTTCGGGAACGTCCGCTCGCCGTAGACGATTGCGAGCGGCGTCTTGACGCCGGCCTTCATCGCCCTTCTCCGCCTGACGCTTGCGTTGTCGTTCCGCTTCTTGGGCCGCGTTCGTGGCTCGATGCTGACGCCTCATCTCGGCCTCGCGAGCGCGCAGTTCACCATGCGCTGCACGCTTCGCCCGCTTGTCCTCGGCCTCGCGAGCGCGCAGTTCGGCATCCGCTGCACGCTTCGCCCGCTTGCACTCGGCCTCGCGAGCGCGCAGTTCGGCATCCGCTGCACGCTTCGCCCGCTTACGTTCGGTCTCACGAGCCCTTCGCAGCGCCGCCTTGTCTTCCAACGTCGGCGAAACCACCGCGGTACCGTCACCTCCAACGACGGGTGCAGTGCTGGCATTCGGTTGTACTGCATTCGTTGTTGATGGTAGCGTTGCCTCCGGGACATCCATCGCACGACCCGCTCTCGACGGGAGACAGAGAAGGCGGGCGCGCGAGAGAGAGGGGTGCGCGCGCAGCTGCAGCGAGGGAGGAGAGCGGAGGAGCGAGCAAAGGGGGAGGGGGACGCGCGCAGCGTCGTTAAAGATATAAGGCGCGTTACTGACACCGATATCAGCGTCGCGTCCGTGGCTTATTCGGTAGAGCGTCGCGCTGCGGCCCGCAAAGTCCTCTTTCTTTTAAAGATAGAGAGAAGACTGCGGACGCCGCCGACGGCGGTGGATGGTTTGGGGTCGCTTATAAAGTGTATTCACACTTAAAACTTAAGAGGCTAACAAAGAGGGTTCAACTTTAATTGACGGCGGCGCAGCGTGCAATGGAAAGACATTATTGGTGCAACCTCAAGGGACAAGAGGAGAGTGGGTCAGGGAACAAGCAAGTGTCAAGGACATCTTAGTCGAAATCAAAAGAAGAAATGGCACTTGGCGCGTAGACAAGATAACAGTTGGCCATTAAGAGTAAGTGACTAAATTACAACTCGAGGTAAACGCGCGAGGGGGGGGGGACGAAGTTTGGTGGAGATGAGATAAAGTTCGCGGGCATGACGTGTTTGCAGGAAGCATAGGTCTGGTTTCGATGATAATGACGATGGCGTAAACGCATGGCTCACACCCACTCTGGAAGATTGGCCAAGAAACGCTTAATTAGATAGTGGATGACATATTACTTTTAAATCTAATGAATTTAAAAAAAAGGTTGGAAGAAATCAAATTTTACTAATTGAGAGATTGGCAATCAAAACCGCCTTGATTAGATTAAGAATCGTTGTACAGCAGAACAGGTATCCCAGTGACAATGACCTGGTAGTCAGCCTGATGATGGTGATGATGAGTTTGTGGGGACTGGCTAGAACATACTGTATACGAAGAGGCACCACTGCGAAGTTAAGAACACAACGTCTGTGCAGTTCCTGCTCACGTCTGTGTCATTCCTCTTTTTCGTGTTCCATACGCTTCGCAGCGCATGCCATACAGGACGATGGTGAGGCAGCGTATTGCTGTAAGATGTTAAAAAGACCACCATGTAGAGGCTACCTATTGCGTTATCACTACCAGATGGCACCGAAGAGAAAAAAAAAACGAAGCTCACTTGTAGTACTCGTGGAGCTCCAGGACTTTCCTCCTGGCCAGAAACCCTCTGGCGTAGCACTGCAGTCGCACGACGAACGGCACCAGGGCCTCGAGCTCGTACAGCATGCGGCGATAGCGACGCCGCTGCCTCACCGCCCGGAACCACGACTGCAGGCGCACGATGGCGTCTATGTTCTGGCAGTAGAAGGAGTACTGGTCTCGCACCGCCCTTCGAATGAGAAAGCCACGAGCGCGCGCCTGCAATCGGACGACCAGCGGAGACAGTTGCGCCACGATGCGGGCCTCCTCCAGGTGCTCGTTCACTCTCAGCACCACGTCCTGAGTGGATAAAAAACAAGATAATTTATTGTAGTGGTTTTATATTGCTACGTGCCAGCGCATAGTGAATAGTGAATAGTGGCCAGATTTGTAGACCACCGAATAGGAAAACTCTTGCAGGCGCAAAGCCCAGCGACCAAGGCGGCCTGATGGATCTTTCAGAGTGTTGAGCCAGCAGAGTGCGTGGGGGTCAGTAACTACCGAGAATGGGCGTCCGTATAGATAAGGTCGAAATTTCGCCACCGCCCATGCAAGAGCCAAGCACTCACGCTCTGTTATCGAATAGTTACGTTCAGGGGCGGTTCAGTGAATAGTTACGTGCCAGTGTAAATACATCGGTGACTACCCCTCTGAGTCAGTATCCTTCCCGTAACAATATAGACCACCTCACTGTTTAAAAAAACACAGCCCCTTGATAACATCCGCCTTTGTCCATTGTTATGACGTAATAGCATCGGTGGGCAAGAAGTGCTTTAGAAAACAGCCCGCTTAGGTATTTTCTACGCTGTTTTCTCTTATTTGTAAAATGTATTCAAAGCAATGTTCGTTCGAGCTACATAAAAATTATAAGAGGTTCTCTCGAACTTTACGCACGTTCCCTTTATCGAAAAAAAAAATAAAGAGACCTTTCTTAATCTTGAAAAGAACACGAAAGCGTACTTTCGGTTTCGACGTCAGGAGCTGGTAAATGAGGCCACCGGAAGTTTCCTGGGGTACAACGCTTGCAATCTTGAAGCCGTCTATACCAGAAGAATGATGTAATTTAGAGGAGCCGTAGTGGAGGGCTCCGAAAAGTCGTATCACCGGGGTTTCATTAACGCGCACCTAAATCTAAGCGCACGTGTTTCTAGCATATTGCCTAGTATACATAGGCGTTTGTGGTGTCTTGACTTCGTTATGTCCGCGTTTGCAAGGCCCGCCTCTTTTAGAATGTATAGTTTCAACCTTCGAATCGACAGCACTGGACTCATGAGGGGCTCGTTTAGATGTTATTTTAGTTGTCGATGTACGTTTTATTGAGCCAGGATCTTTCCTCACCAGACGACAAGCTTTTGTCGATTCTCCGCATTTCTAAAAGAGCGACCTATTTCGAATCGTCAACCTAGTACTGGTTGCAACAGGTTACGACTGCGCCGACACACGAGTCTCTGGGTTCTTGGTTTGTATTTTTATCGCCCATCTTGGTTTTTTTAGGAGCTTGCGCAGAAAAAAAAAACTTTTAGCGCGCGACTCAAGTGTATTATCGAACGTCGAAATCGCGTGGTGAAACCCACGAAGACATATATTAATTGCCTAGCTCACAGCCTTCGTATTGTCTCTGGACTGTGAACCCATCAAATCAATCTACTATCCCAATCATTCGATCACAGACACTCGCGTCGGCAACGGCCCCCGAATTGATCTAAGATTCATCCAGCTTGTTCGGCACGCAAATAGGCTGGCGTGCGCGGCCAGCACCCCCCCCCTCCCTTTCCCCCGATTTGATGAGTCCGAAAGAAAAGAACCGTGCATAATTATGTTCCCGAACAGTGCTTCTACCGTTCACTAATAACACCCTTGATTGGGCAGTTGAGTGTTGAAGTAAGACACATACGTTAGGGGCGTCATCAAGTAACTAATCATGAGCTGGCAAGCGTGCATTCAACCTAATGGAGACTGCCCTGCGTGGAGACAATGTTGAAAAACTACATATCTGCTTTTGTTGATATTTTCGAATATTCTCACCGTATACCAAATAAAAAAAAACTTTTCTGCTTCCTCACTGCATTTTATAAATAAAATATTTTGAAATACGAGAAAAAAAAACATTACATTTTCGCTTCTTTTGGGCTTCGCGAAAGTCACGTTCCTGCTTTTGGGCTTCTTTTGTGGTGACTGCATGTTAGCTCAATAGCATCTGGCAATTCTGACTCACTAGGCAACTCACTCAGGCATGCATGCATTCAGCGAGTTGCCGAAGGAAGCGAGTGCGGTCACTTCGTACCCGGACGTCGTCCAGCGAGAGGAAGGACGTGTGGTCGGCCTTGGGCGTGGACGCCCACTCGCTCCGGAACTGGACCACGTTGAGGTTGAAAAAGAGGCCCGGCCGCACCAGGTAGGAGAACCACTCGATGGGCGTGAAGGCGAATGGGGCCCGCTTCTCGAGGAACACGACGCGAAGCTCGCGCAGGTACGCCTCCGCAGTGGCCGCGCTGTCGCTGCCACTGCAGAACAGGGGAACCACCCGCAGGCTCTCCAGACCTCCGCGGACGTCCTCCGTGCTCTGGTTGCAGACGCCCACGTTGAGAGTGGCCAGGCCGATGCACATGTTGCTGGCCTCCACGGCCACCTGTACGCACGGAGGATTGGGTGAGGGCCAGAGATGGCGTAAAGGCCCCAAATTTATGTTCGTGGCTCAAGAGCAAAGCTGTTAAAGCTCGCGTAAGATGTCGGGTGTCCACACACACACACACACACACAAAAAATCGCAGCATATCGATGGAGTGAATAATGATGAGTGGGGAGAAGCTTCGAAGGTTTTTATCGGCAAACCGTGAATTACCCTCTGGCCGCGTTTGTACGACTATGTCTGTCCGTTCGTACGACCATCTAGTGAACGCTTCAAGTACCATCATCTCGCATCTTTCATCAGATATTCATCATATGCAAGTACCGCCGTCCAGTGGACATTCCGGAGAATAAAACGAAAGGTGGCTACTACATAGAGGAGACGCACGACCTACGCCTTAAAGCTTCGTCCTTAAAACCATCCACGCCGTCCATAAACTGCGCCCACCATCCACGCCATCCATAAACCGCCGCGCGAGCCAAGAGTATACGAGTGACGAAAGGCACGCGTGCTTCCACCGGCCGAAGGTGCCACAGTCAGCATTGCACGTTAGTTCAGGCGATGGAGTTGGGACAATCTTGCATTGTCTGTGACAGGGTGTGGCTCGACTCTGCTTTGCCCACGCCAAGGAAAGATCTGGCATGCCAGCCAAAAAGACCACGTGACCCCCCCCCCTCCCCAAGATCAACCAGCTTTGCTGTTTACATGGTTAGTGGGAATTTTCCTCTTCCTTATTTAAATGCGGAGCATTTCTTAGTTGCATCATGTCGCGGATCCGGCGTCGGCGACCCGTCCATACTCCTACTGCGCATGCTCGCGTCTCGTGCCAACTGCCACTACCCTCCCCCTTTCTCGCCTCACAGGGCCGACGCAGGCTGCGTCTGCTAGTGAAAAAAAAAACCGACTGCTCACGCTTCACAATCTTTCACTTCAAGGGCGTCTTTACTTGGCTTTTGCTTGTCTCGAGTAGACGCGATGTACCTTCAACCACTCGAAGGCAACGCTTCTCCTTCGGTCGGTTGGTAACAACTTTATTGGAAGTCTGGCAGAGCATTCGCAGACAGGGCGTTAGGTCTCCCGCGTGGGGACGCGAAGACCTTGTCTGACCGCCACCTCGCGGGCCTGCTGGACGGCCCAGAGTTGGTCACCTAGGCTGGGGCTGCACAGGGCAGCGGCCATCCGCGGCGGAAGGGTTCCGGATTTAGTACCTTACGGATTTCTGGCGCTGTCTCAGAGCATGCGATTTAGTGTGACAACCTCAATATGGCATATGTTGCATATATTTGTCGGATATATATTGGGGTATAGTCTGTTAAACAGCGATTGGTTGGGATACGTGTGCGTCTGCAGCTGTCGTAGAGCCACCATCCGCATGCTGTCCAGCTTCCCGCAGGGTGGAGGAAAGGTTCGGCGGGCCAGGTAGAAAGTCTTGGTAATTTCGTTATAGGTCGTCAAATTATCTTTGGTGTTTCCCCATAGAGGACGGTCGCCGACGCGGTTCACGAGCTCACGCGTCTTGACGTGTGCGGTCTCGTTTAGGTTGCGGTGTGTACCTGGTACCTCTCCCATGTGAGCCGGGAATCACAGGAGTCTGGTTTGAAGCTCTGCCTCTTGATAAAATTTTCTATTGCACAGAAATTTGGCCGCTCGTTGCCAGATCCATCCTTTGATGAAGTTTCTTACCACTTGTCTCGAGTCGCCGAGGACCGCTTCTCCATCATTCGAAAGAATATTATGGACCATCACCCCAAAGAAAACCCTGATGAGATGTGAAGCAGCCGCGGTGCGCACGCCATTGACCCGGTTGAAAAAGGCGTCGACGCGGGTGCTGGAAGAACGGTTTGAAGCGAAACTCGGTGTAGCCTTTACTCGAGTAAACGTTTTTTTTTTTGAAACGCAAATACACGGGAGGTGGGTTGGGTTTTATGCAAGTTGCAACGCAGATAAACAAGCCGAAAAAGTTTCCACTCGACGTGCGGTGGGCGGTGGAGAGGGTGAAGCGAGGGAAAAGTGTGTTGCGAGGTGGCGGAGGAGCAACACCACCTAGGTGTGTTGGGAGGAGCCGGCAGCTGCTGCGGGAGAGGGAGAGAGTGACGTTACCGCGCAGTTGCGACTTGACTATCTCGGCATTGTTCCAACAACTGCGGCGGGGGGGATTGCGGTGCGGCGCGTTGGCACGGAGACACGGACGGACAGCGTTACACAGGAAAGTCAAAGAGCTGCTTCGCTCTTTGACTGCTTCGCTTATAAAAGCTGCTTAAAGAGCTGCTTCGCTTATAAACAATAATAGATACGAAATAACAAGCATTACCAAACCATACCCAATTACGCAACATTCACGCGATAAACCCCCCCTGCGATGCGTGTGAAGATGCGGGCGGCATTTTTTGTATTGTAATTTGTAGCCGTGTGTCTGGTATTGTTGAAATTGAATCACCGAGGCTAACACACAGGTGTCGGCAACCTGCGGCCCACGGGATAGTATTACGTGGCCCCGGCACGAAGTCAGCACCGCGCACCCCTGTCGTCACTTCTTGTCTCAAGGCCGACATATCAGTTTAGACCTCCAAACACGGTTAGACAGGAAAACAAAAAATAAACATCACTTACATATTTTGTACATTACTGGCGAAATTACCCGAATTTTCTCTTTGCCAGCTTGAGGTTCGACTATAGGAGGGAAGGGGTCTATGAAAAGGTGACGCTACGTTTCAGCCAGGGAATATTCAAGTCAAGATGCGTTCGCTATGTGTTGGTTTACTAACAGTTCTCAGTTCTCGGCCTTGTCAACTCATTCCGCTGACGGGAGAAAAATAAATGTCTTGTGCAATGCGATCTTTTTTTGGTGTTCTTGGACTGTGAGTAAGAAAAAAGATCACCGCCATATACACGAAATGAATGATGTTACAGGAACTTGCTCGGAGGGTTACGGGGCGTTTCTTGGCGAGACCATATCTGTAGGAAGGCTTGTTAACGAGCCGGCGCATGATGTGTACGTCGAAGGCAGCGTTGTTGGGCACGTTCCGCGGCCGGTATTGCACGCTAACCACCTGCCCATTTATGTCATACTGCCTGCTGCTGCGAGCCAAATGCACAACGCTCAAAATGGCAGACGTGGAGCAATCAGGCGTTCTTCCAACGGGATCGCGAGCTGGCAGGGAAGGAGGCTCGGGAGCATATCGGTACCCATGCGTAACACTCATCGTAGGAACTTGTCACGTCCTGCCGTGCTTGCGAAGCTACGAGAACGAATTGGACGTAGTGGCGAGGAGTGAGCGCGCGGGGCATCGAAAACAGAGAACCCTAACGATGATGATGATGATGATGGTGGTGGTGGGGGCGATGATGAAGTATTGCGGTTATGCCCTTGCTATCTTGTAGGCTACTCTTAAATGCCTTAACCTCAGAGAAACAAAAGAGAGAGTAACAATGGAGGAAAAGTCACAATATGAGAGCGAGCATGAAAATGAGAAACCCGAAAAAAAAACGTTTTGGGTGGTGACGCACCATCTATTGGGCATTGTTGGAATCGCCAGAGGTGACCCACCCCAGCGCACACATCCGTTCCTGGCAACGAGGCGGCCCACGAGTTAGCCCGGGTGTCTGGAGCCGCCCGACTGCCAGAACATGGACGAGGGTCTACAAGATCACACTGAAATCGTTGAAAATTAACGGCTACTTCGGAGAGGTGTGCCACCACCGGATAAAAGCCTGAACGATAGGGAGGCAGTCGCATGGCGGCGCTTGCAAGCTGGCAATTTCGTAAACCCGGCCTGGGCACATCATGTCCAGAAAAACGACAGGCAAAGCGATGGATGCAAGCCCTGTGGGGAGAGAGAGACCCTCGACTACATAATATGGGAGTGTGATGGCTCCCCAGGAGCTAAATCAAATATAAATTGTAGAGAGGCCTGGGAAGCCCGGCTGCGAAGCGAGGACCTTGCTTCACAGCAACAAGCCATCCGCCTGGCGGAAGAAGCCAGGAGGATTCATAACCTCTTTCCCGGCTTTTAATCGCGGAGGTGCCGACCTATGCCATGGACGGGGAGTAAAGGGCCTCATTATCTAACGTAAAGATAAAGTTGTCATTCTATCCTATCCGGACAAGGCGCGACCAAGCTGCTTAAGAGAAACCTTGAGCCCTTCGTATACCTGGTTCGCAGTGTCGATGACCGTCTGAATGTCTTCGACGCCCAGAGGCTTCTCATCGTCCAGCGACCTCTGCTTAACCTCCAGTAAGTCCTGGTACAGGAGCACGTGGTCACGACTCAGGTGCTGAATGCCCAGGGAGGGCGCCAGCAGAGCTTCCAGGGTTGCCTGCAAGGGCGTGAAACAACGACACGATTGTGTGCCTACATTGCCAACCGCATTTCGGAATAGATGCGTGTTGTAATTAGTGTTTTCTCGAGTAAAAGCCACCACTGCATTAACACCGCATCCCCGCCAAACCAAAATTTAAAGAAAGAACACCGCATGCAGACGTGAAGCTGTCTTCTTTTTACTACAGATAAGCTGTGCAGTGAAACTAACGTGCGTACCAAAATTCGCGTGTTACTGTAACTCCGAATTAAACGTATATCTCAAGCAGGTTATGCGGGAAAAAATATGGTATCAGTACATGATCGTAGAACACTCGCGGTCAGCTCAGCGCTGTAGTATCACGGCCAACTTTGACTCAGTTCGTTTGATTTGTTGATTTCCCTTCTCACCCACTTGTACAAAGGCTTGGCAAATGTGTACCGGGATGGGGGGGGGGGGGGGTCAAATGTTTCCAGGCCACGTTCCCATAGGAATACATGGGATAGTGAGGGCCTAAGTACTTTTGACCGCCCCACCCCCCTCTGCGTGTTTTCCGCCTTTTGGGAAGACGCAAAGCGCACAGTGATTTACTGGTGTTTCCTACTGGAACATGCCAACCACTGGTAATAGGAAATGAGAGACGGAAGACTCCGATTGAACACAGAGTTCCGCAGCCCAATTTCAGTTAACGCGCGCGCTGCGAATATTTGTCGTTCAACAACACTCAAGCGCGAGCAGTCGCTTATATAAGTCAAGACACTCGCTAGCCGACTCTGCTCGCGTCGGCGTTGTGAGGTGAGAGAGGGGGCAAGTAGGAGACGAGAGAGGGGGGGGGGGCGAGCATGCACGGTGGAGGGGGTTAGACGCCGGAGGACAATATACACAAGCCCCCGGTACAGTGTACCACAGGCATAAAATGCTTTGCATGTAAATACCGCAAAACGCGACATGAGGGAACCCGACTGTATGGTAAAGCACAGAATATAGTTTTGTGTACAGTGGAATCTCGTCCCTATACGCTATTCATGGGAACTGAGACATAAAACGTTTTATGCAAGAATCGTTAAGCAATGTGGTTTAAAAAGAAAAACATGCGTACTCTTTCATTAGCTACTAAGAGCAACATTCATGTTGGTGGTCAATATGCGCAGCGCTTCTTTTCAACGTCTACGAATAAGTTCTTCTGAAAAGTTAAAAAAAAACTGCATTTTGCTTACTAAGCTCTGCATTCAGGAGCTACGAAGTGTGAGTGAGTCGCTTGTTGTCGGCAGCGATCTTTTTGCCGCAATACCGACGCTTCTGCGGCCTCAGCGGTCCTGCAACGTCCTGATCGAGGGTTGTCGAAACTCGGTTTCAGCTATGATTTACCGAAGAGTAAATCTAGGATTTCTGGACATATCGGTCAAGATAGACTTTTGCGGTCGTATTATCCAACATCTGGAACAGGCGTGAATAAAAGGATGGAAATGTTTAATTGGATGTTGGCACGGAACCACAAGTAGAAAAGGTACTGGGCCAAAACACGTACCCAAAATGGTATCCTCGAGATTATACATTAATATACTAAAGCATAACATTTACACAATACATCAAAAAGGCAATATTTTTTGCAGATTACACTAATTTGGTAATGCAGCAATGAAATAAATGGTATGCACTTGATAACATGCAAAAAAGCATGACAACCACTAATACCTTTCATAACATACTGTGGAGGGGAAAGCATTCAAGTTTGTAATTGCTGCAATGATAAACTCTGTGAATTATAACCTTTTTATCCCAAAAATATTTTACCAGTGTGGAGATAGCATTTAACAGCGATAGTTCAAAAATGCGCGCGGAACCTTATATCGGGCCCATAGCCAGAGATGTTTTTCGGCGGTCGAGTGTTACATCGCACGCATATCGCACATCGCGCACCTTTTGACAAGCTCGACACACACGGTGTCAGCAACGAGCTATTTACGACAAGAGACTGCTAATTTGGTCGCCTCGACTCGAGAGTGCCGATCCACGTACACACACATACGTACCTGCGGAGTGCCCATCGCGACGGCGTCGTTGACCCTCTCCAGGGCCTCCTCGCGGTCGGCCTCGCCGTCCTCGGCCGCGTTCACCTCGTTCACTGTGTCCTGGATCTCGGTATGCGTCAAGAAGCAGTCGTCATCGGGGCGGTCTCGGAGCGCCTCCCTGAGCGCCGCCAAGTACCGGTCGTGGCACTGGGGCCGGAGGTCGGCGATGTGCGCGTGCGGGTTCTCGAGGCAGGCGGCCGAGTCGAAGCTGGCGCCCGCCTTCAGGGCGAAGTTGAGCTCTGCAATGGCGTTGAGGATGCGGATGCCCCCGATGAGTTCCTGGTGACTCAGGTTGTGGCCCGCCTCGCGCCGTATGAAGGCGAACTGGTTGTGATAGAGCGACGCGGCCAGTGGGTACACTGCCGGTAGCTGGGCCGCGGGGTCGCGCAGGGCCTCCAGGGTGTCGTCGGCGCAGCCGCAGTCGAGGGACATGTTAACGGCCTCGATGGCTCCCTCGAGTCGAGTCTCCTCTTCGACCTTTTCATTGGCCAGCTGGACGGCAACCTGAAGGTCACTGCGGGACAGCGTGAAAGGGCTGTTGTTCTCCCGGGCGTCCTCCTTTACTTTTCTGAGGACCTGCGTGGTCGGACAGTACGAACAAAAAATCATGTTGGATATCGACATTCGGTGCGGTTAAATCGTGAAGGTGACACCCTAACGAGCACCATTCATATTGCTGCCCCCCTAACTGCAATTAAGTGTTCGAGGGAATAACGGTTTGTACGCGGCACTGGTCTGTCAAAATGAATCAAAACTGCGAACTACTACCAGACTCGTGCAAATTTAAGGCACAGCGATGTTGCAATACAGCGATATCCGGACATGCCCTGCACGCAAATGTTTACTTTTGCAGTTGAACAGCTTGTACGCGACAACGAAGGAACGGTATATATATCAAGTGTGGGCATTCGGACTTCTTAGGGTTCTGACGTGCGAAAACCACGGTATGGTTACGAGGTACGTCGAGCTATTTAACGTTCACCGGCGTCGTGCAGTAAGTGGGCCTCCAGCATTCAGCGTCCATTGAAATGTCTCCAGCGCGGCCGGGATCGGAACCGCGACTATTGGATCAGCAGCCGAGAGCCGTAACCACTGTTCCTTCTCGGCGGACTCGTCTTCAAAAGTAGAAGCGGCAGGCCCAAATCACTTCAATTCTTTAATCACACCACTTCATGGCGTTCGCTCCTCTGGTTCCCTGCGCGCATGGGAAGCATAGGGGAGCGATTCCGGTCAAGCTCAACGAGGTGGCCATAATAGCCGCACGCGAATTGACCGGCCGCCCAGCTGCACTCTACTCCTCGCCCTTGCGAGACTTTCTACAGCCTTTCAACGAGATTACGAAAAACAAAATGGCAGTGGCGTAGTTCAGCTATGTCAGGATATACGTAGCCTTAGCAAAGGTTCAGCTGGTTATTCTTAGCTTTTTAGATATCATGCTTACAGCTATTCCAATGACACACACACGGTATACGTATTATGTGGCACATGTATATTTATTTTGCCGGGCAACTACTTCGGTATCCGATGAGTTAAGCTTCTCCGCTCTACTGCACCGTTGAGCAGCATTTGCACTCTCCTTCTCTATGGCTATACCACAGTGGAAAACGCCAGTCAGAGGCGCTATCAAGGGGATCCAGCGCAGTGTCAGATGGCGACTGCACAGGGAAGATGCGCGCGTCGGCGTCGATATGTCTATCAAGGCTATGACAGCACTCCTCTGGAAAGCGCACACCGGCGGCGGCGAGTCGCGCGCGGCCGAGTGCGAGGAAGGTGCCGGCTCCGGTGCGTGACACCACTGATCGCCTGCGCAACGCATCGAATTGCGCGCACACCGGCGGCGAGCCGCGCGCGGCGGCGGCGGAGTATCTTTGCGCATGCGCTGACCAGTGCCACGCGAAATTGGCTCAGCGAGGCCAGCTAGTGTAGCTAATGCTACAAAACTTTGCACTGTCGCGTAGGTCCTTTCCTCCACCTAAGCTTGAACGAGCGCAGGCCGTGTCCCTCCGTCTTTGCAGACGGAGTCGTACGCCAATCCCGTCTTTCTCTACGAGCTATATCCCACCGTTTACCTTAACAAGAGATGCCCCGCATGAGATATATCCGCCACATTACAGCACATCATGGTCTACCCCGAGCATCAGATTCTACCCCGAGCATCACAACGGGGAAGTTGCACCTTTGACGACTCTCGGCTCATGGCCATCCGGCGGGCCCGCGTGCGAGGTAGCAGATCGGCTGAGCCTGTCTGCTCCGACGTACGACTAAGGACTATTCCATGCGCTAGCCACCCAGCCGCAACACATGTGGAAATGCACTAATTTTTCTAATTCTTGCCTATCACTTGCGGGTCTTTGTTACGTTTTTATTACCGTACACATCAAGGGCAGAAAGAGCAGACGAACATGGGTGTTTGCTTTGTTCCATTCCGTGTACGATATGTGCCCGCAAAAGTGAACTTTTCTAACGTGAGCCCCTAAAGGCCAACTATATATAGAACAGCTGAGCTAGTTAATGGGTACCTGTTCGTTAATGACTGGGCGAACAAACACGGGCGCAAGAGAAACGTGCCCCGCCGCGGTGGTCTAGTGGCTAAGGTACCTGGCTGCTGACCCGCAGGTCGCGGTATCGAATCCCGGCTGCGGCGGCTGCATTTCCGATGGAGGCGGAAATGTTGTAGGCCCGTGTGCTCAGGTTTGGTGCACGTTAAAGTACCACAGGTGGTCGAAATTTCGGGAGCCCTCCATTACGGCATCTCTCATAATCATATGGTGGTTTTGGGGTGTTCAACCCCACATAATCAATCAATCAATCAATCAATCAATCGATCAATCAATCAAGAGCGAAATGTTCGTGTTGTCCCGACTCCTCTCTTATACGGCTGTGTTTGCACTCCCGGTCTGTTTCACCAGCTGAACCTCGCGTCTTTCTTACCTGAAAGTATGCGGACACATTGTCCTCGACGATGTCGTGGACTCCCAGGTCCTTCCTGGTGAGTAAGAGCTCTCGGAACAGCACCACGTCGCCGCTGTCCACGGCGGCATCGATCTGCGCCAGCAGCACGTTGACGTTCGTCTCGATAACGTAGCCCTGAACCTCGGCCAGGCTCAGAAGGCGCTCGTACATGTCCTCGTAGTCTTGCTCGCCGCCTTCGAGACGCCGCATGGAACGCTGCCTCAACTTGGAAGCCTTGGCACGCTCAAGAACCTCGCGGTATCTGCGCATGTGTTAAAATGCATAGGCGCAAACTGATATGTGCAGTCCAATGTTTGACGAAAAAATTACAATTCTGGCCAACGCCTCCTAGAAAAACTGTGCCTAGAACGCCGCTCTCTTTTCAATTGGGAGCCTCCTGCCAGCACGCAATCTCGAAGGCCATGCCTCCTGCCTTGTGTTGCGACCGGCCGCCGCGTGAGACCGCTCACCTCCGTACCGCTCAGTCACATGACATAACCGTACCGCTCTGTCACGTGACATCACGGCTGCTCGGAGGCAACTGTGAGAGCATTGTTGTGTTCGCAGGGAGCGGTCGTCGGAGACGCTCGCCTTCGTACCGAAGGAGGAGGGTAAATTCAGAGGGTAGGGCAGCGCGTTCACGGCTCACGTTCCAGGCATAATTTTTTAGGAGGCGTTGTTCTGGCCAAATCGTAGAATTAGACTGCGCGCAAAATTTGGAGAGCCTTTCACACATCAGACCAAGAGGGCGCATGCGTTCGTTCTAGCTGCATTCTACTACCCCCCCCCCCCCCCGAAAATCGAATTCATTAGAAGCCAGAAGTAGAAGTAGTATATCCGGATAAGAACTTTGAATCAGCACCACACCTGGTAATCGTAATCACCACGCACGTGTAGGATCTGAAGACAGTTGAGCAAGATTGCCGCGCCCCACCCTCTTCGTATGCCGACTTTTCTCTTTCCTGGAAGCCTTCCTTCTTCCAATCTTTTTCAATAAACCTCAGTTGATAGTTTGCACTTGTGGTGTCTACTTAATTTCTTATCTCCTCCCTAACTTCGTTCTCCGCAGGAACTGTAGCGCAATTTTTTCAGTTGTGGAAAACTGACTAGCCCAATACCTCACTTTGCTCACACATGATTTCACTTAAGATATATGGGCACCGTCTTCAAGGTTGGGCCGTTAAACGAATGTTATCTTGCCTCACTAGTTGAAATTGACCAGCGTCCCGCATAGACCGTGCCAACACGATCGACGCAAAAATCACCTCGCGATGGCGTCACTATACACGTCATCGGGGCGAAACTACGACGTACATCGTGTGATGTCACATTACATCGTCGCTTGGTTAAGTGAGCTGATCAAAGAGGCAGTGCAAAACTAGGCAGCATGCTGGCTTTTTTAGTTTGTTTCGAGACGATAGCCCTGAATTTCAAGATTGTAACTCCTCCGATCCTGGAGAATACGTGCCAACCACATGATGAAAAGAAAGCTTTCGGTGAGTGGCGAGGAGGATCGATAAATAAATAAATCGACTGAGAAGAAAAAGATGACCTTCGCCTTCGAATCGTCTTAGGTGAACGAAGAAAGGATTTTGGGACTACTTGCTATGTCGCGACGTGAATGGATAAGGTAAGGAAATGTCGAATGCACCAACCCAACCGTTTTTTGTGCTTATGCGTCTAGCGTAGCACTGGTTGCCCAGTTAAAGATACAGAACTGCGTAGCTAAGGTCAAATATGGCGGCACCGAAACCCACCCGTAAAACAGCGAGACTAAAGAGTCAGCCTTGCATCGAACCATTGACTTCCCAAGCATCATTTCGACACCCAGGCACAAAGCACCGTGGCTCCAGGGCGTCACCAGGAATATTTTTCGGGGGGAGGGGGGAGGAAGGGGGACCACGACAATTGTGTTTCTTCAGGGGATCAAGGAGGCACAGAGCTTATGCGTTGTTTAGAAGTGTGGCGGTTTGGGCTAGTTGGTATGACATGATGGTTGTTATAGCCCGAGAACAGAATGATGACAAAGGGAGAAGAGCGCTCGTCTCCTTGTCCCTTTGTCGTCATTCTGTTCTCGCGCTATAACTATCATTATGCGTTGCGTTTTGACTGCTTGTTCTTGGAGAGGGGGTGCAAAGGGGGAGCAGGCAGAAATACGGGGGGGGGGGGAGGGCTCCAGCTTACCCTGCCCCCTTTGACGCCGCCCCTGCGCGGGTCTACTTTATGCACCGGCCCTGCACCAGGAGAGAAATGTTTAAAAAGGAATCCTTAACCGGCATCAGAGGTTACACTTGTAAATGAAGTTGTTGGAACAAACTGGTTCCGAACTCTTTCTCCCCCCTCACGATCACACGATGGAATGCCTCATCGATGTTCTTACAGGTTACACCCGTCCATATTTTAAAACCTGAACGCGCGAGCATCGACCGCCGAGTCTGAGCGCCTGTTCCGGGCATCCTGGGGTTCGGTTCTAGGAACAGCCTAGCAGAAGGAAGCCTGAAAGTCTGTTTATTATTTTGATATATTATTTCTTTCATTTTGCCGCTGTGCTCTGTTTAACGCCGCTTAGAGACTAGGCGGTCGACGCTCACGCGTTCGGGTTTTAAAAATGGGCGGGTGTACATCTGGAACTGGCTTTCATGTGCGCTTTTAGTCCCGACCTTAAATGCGATGTCATGTCCCTGCAGTCGTTCACCGAGTCATTTGTTATCGTGAAATATGACGTGCAATAAAGGCTGACTGGAGGTCACATCAACTGCACTAACATGTTGCTATTAGGTATAAACTGCAAATGTGACGCAGACGTCGTAAGCTGCCGATGATGACGTTAACATCTGTCCATCCATCATACGTTTATTGAACCTTCGTTGCGCCGTTTCGTCATCATAAACTCTTTCCGACTCGCCCAGCTATCAGTGCTACTTGGTAAATAATTTGCAGCGAGATGAACGCCAGGGCAAATAACGCGCAAAACACAACCTGCTGAATATAAGACGATTAGGGACAGCGCGAAATACAAACATGCGCGCGCGCACGCACACGCACACGCACGCACGCACACACACACAGACACGCACACACGCACACGCACGCACACGCACGCACACACAGATCTACTGATGGATTCATCAATTGATTTTAAGGCTGAAAAAACAACAACAAGATGACTCGGAGACAGAACGCCTTTTTTTTTGCGGTCTTACACCTGCTCCTACAATAGCTTTAGAGCTTGAGCCTCAGAGCGGCTTGCGTATGGCTCCCTAAAAAAAGGAGGAGGGGGGTATCGTCGCCCCCCCCCTCCTTCCTCGAGTTGTTGCTCGAGTTCAATGGGCACCATGCTTCTCAATGAATGAAGCATTGAAAATGTAGTAGTGATGACGTGTTTATCACAAGACCTGCTTTTGCGGAAGTAAAGATGGGAAGTTGAGCTCTTGGAATGAAACATTAGCGGCCTTCAGTCAACACTTTCGTTAAAAACCTGCGAGACCATAACTGAGTGGGCGCGTGGGGCACACTTCGCTCCCACCCGCCTCGTGCGTACGCCTATCACGACACTGCTCGTGTGATGGAGCAAGGTGCGGTGTGTTATACCTGTGAATGTTCTCCGGTCGCACGTCTGTCAACTGCGCGGTGGGTGCAGAGAGGGTCTCGAGGAGCAGATCCACCTCGCCCTTGTCGATGGCCGTGTTGATGGCGATCACGGCTGAGGAGTCGGCGCTCGTCTCCTTGGCGAGGATGCCGTCAATGAGGCCGAACGCCGGCATGGACACCTCGGCATTGAGCACCAGGCTGCGCCGGACCTGTCCACGTGTAGACACGCAGATCGTCAGGTTATCACTGATCATATTTATGATCAAGGGAAAAAAATTGTAAGGGGTCGTGTCTCTGCGTTAGACGCAATGTTTATCAGAACTAACAGATAAAATGCGTACACGTATAAGTGCTCGAAACGTACGAAGAGTGTGGCGACAGAAGCCTTCAAATCAACATCCCTTCAAGGTCGTAAAGAATTTTACTTCGGGGGAGGAGGTCCATCAAAAGGTCCTTAAATAAAACCTATCTAGGGACCTTAGTCTATCACACCCGTCATACAAACTAAATAAATATTTTGCGGCGAAGGTCGAGGCAATGTATGCTCCCCCAACCCCACATTTTGTTACGCGATTGCTTCTCTGGCAACACGCCAGAGGACTTGCATAACTTTTTTGTATTTTGCCATGGCTGACTAGATGAACTATACTATACGACCTTGTCACTAGTGGCGTAGTTAGCCAAAAAGTGGCACACTGCGCCCATGCCCCCCCTCCCCTCTTTTTTTTTTCAAGGCATACATAGCACATGGTGACACTGCCCCACATCTGCCCGCCCAAACTACGCTTCATCAGATCAATGATGTACCCTGAAAAAAAAAAAAATTCCAGCGCAAACAAAACCCAGTACAAAGAAATGAAGGACGGGTGACACTGCCCCACATCTGCCCACCAAAACTGCGCTTCATCAAATCAATGATGTACCACGAAAGAAAAAAATCCCAGCGCAAAGAAAACCCAGTACAAAGAAATGAAGGACGACACAGCCACAAGCGCTGGGGTCGCCTTTCCTGCGTCGTCACTTCCTTTCTTCTAATGTGTGTCCGCTAACAATCACAAATATATTCCAACTGGCCAACTTCGCTACTTTCAGTGTTTGTTCGATACAGGTTGGCCTGCCGATTCTCGATAAACAACGCGACGTGCGAAAATAGTAAGCAATGAACGGGCGTACCTGTTCAACCTCTTCGTCCGAGAAGTGCAGCTTGCCCGTCAGCTTCTCGATCCTGGGCGCCCTGCCCAACTTGAACAGGTACAGGCTGAGCGCGTGCAGGCAGTAGATGACCTTGGGCAGGTTCTTCCTCTCGTACAGGTCGATCGGGTCCGGCAAGAAGTGCTCGGGAAAGCCGATGGCACGCATCGCGGTCAGCCAGTGGTTGATGTTGTCCGTGTGGCGGAAGCACAGGCCGCGCTCCCGGTGAACGTTCTGGTCCAAGTCGTAGATCTTGCGCAGCGGCACCTCGTCGGGCGCGAAGAAGTGTGACAGCCGCGCCAGGTAGACGCCGTTCCTGAGGGCCTCCTCGAGTCGCGTCGCCGACGGCAGCTCTTCCTCGATGCACGAGGACAACCAGAGCCGCGTCTCTTCCAGGTGACACAGGTAGAGGTAGGCCATGTTGAACTGCCTCTTCTCGTCCATTTCGTCCGAAGAAGGGCGTGTATCTTCGTCGTCGCTTGACATGGCGTAGCCTTTTTCAAAAATGCGTCTCCCCTGTCCTCCAGTACCAAGGTGCCTCGATCCTCGCTTGAGGTCGGGCTCACCAGAGAATGGGAGGTAGAGGTTCCTCGGGAAGGTGTGCAGTGCAGTCCTGGTTTGAATTTGGAGGCGTCACCTCCCTTATCAAGAAACAAGTACGCGTCTCCACTGTCCGTTAGTAGACGTACTGACGTGCCCCCTGACTTGAGGTCAGGTGAGCGAAGCTAGCCGTCCTGGCACGGAAGGTGGACGTTCTTTGCGAATGCGTGCAGTCCTGGCTTGAAATTGTGGAACACGTGTGTCACCACGCCCACAAACCACGAGCGTTCTTTTTCTTCTTCTCCTTGTTCCACTCTCTGCCCCCGCCTCTGCCTTCTTTACAGCTGTCGCATTTATCTAATTTTCATTGCTCCTACTGCTGCGCGTAATCAAACTGTGGATCGGTGACTAGCGCTTGCGCAGGAGTTTCATTGGAGTTTCTGAATCACGTGACGAGTTAAAATTATGGCCACGAGATTGGCAAACAGATTTGAAGTATCTTGTAGCACTGTAGTTCTTGTGTACCATCCCATAAATGGGTGCGTGCCATACACTCGCGCAGCCAGGAGCGAAGAAATTCAACCGCCTCTCCCAATTATTTTCGAGGTATAGCAAAGAAAGGAAAGAAATGGGCGTGATCGCGCGAACTGCCACAACGACGGCGATGATATTTTCTGTAGGTTATTTTATGCCTAAAAACAACAATATTGTTATGAGGGACGCAGTTAGTGAAGGGCTCTAAAAGTTCGACGGCTTGAGATTCTTCTATCCTCATCAGACGGACTACGCCCATTGCTGAACAATGACCTCTTCCGTGATCCGCCAATAAACCCGGTCTTGCGCTTTCTGCTGCCACGTTATACCTGGGAACTTTTTAATCTCGCAGGTATAACGTGGCAGCAGCAAGTCTTGTTCTCGAAAGCTCTAGCTGTGTATTCGGGTCGGCTTGCGTTTCCCCCACGCTTTAGCGGTCGAGTCTCGCTTTGCGAAACGCGCCCTCTGCCTCAGGGAGTGCTTACACCGAAGCCTGTCTCGACACACTGTTCAGTAAGATCTAAGATAACATCAACACTTCTACTGACCTATTCCATGTCTGCAAGATGCCATCCACATACTGGGGCGCTTGCAGCGACTACGCGGGCTCCACCCAGCCCAAAGTTCACCATCGCTCTCTGTGATCACGGGACAACTGGTGCAGCTACCTCAGATGTCCCGCGATCTGCACCTTTCATGCATATCTAAGGTCACAACCATCAGTAGTGTCAGCCAACCAGAATATGCCTCACTCCTGTGCTATAACAAAAAGGCAATAAGAGGAAGATGGGAGCTTGCCATGATAAATTCATCAACAAGGGGTGGGTGCTGAAGCCGACGTTCACACAAGTGAATTTTCCTTTTGTTGCAGCCTTGCAAAAGACAAGTCTACTAGTCAAAGAGGTGGAATTTTTCCGAATCTTTATCAAATGAAGTTTTTCGTACCGAACCCTACTTGTCATAACGTGGGCTCCAGCCCCTCTTTACGAATTTCTCATCCTGTGCTCTTTGTTATGCAGACTGAAAGGCTTTTTCATAGAAAGATTACTAATGTGCAATGGGTCAGTTATTTTTCCATTCCGTAACACTACTTTTGTTGCTGATTGGCCGACATGAGCCCCAGCGTTTGTGCGCTGCACCTATATTTCCAATTATTTGCTCACAGATGTTACCGCAGCAAATGTTTCCACTGGGTTCCGGCGACTTCAGCAAGGTTTCTTTAATTCCTACTGTGCGGCAAAGTTTAGAACAATTCGTACATAAGAGGCAATAAAGAAAATGCTCAACGCGTTCATTTAGTAGATCACCTTTGCAAGTACTTTGAGACACTTGTTCTGTGCCAACAGAAGTGGCAGTTCTAGTTGGAAGTGGGGTGTCAGTCTCCTGTAAATAATCCTCATCTATGATGCGAGAGAAACTACATTCACAACTGATTTTTCAGAGAATTACAACATAAGTTTTCAAAAGTGTAAAAAAAAAAGAAATTGGGACTTTCGCAAGAGCTTTAAAACATCTTCAAAGAAAGTTGCATGCACATCAGGATAACTGCCCTGGACATAGAAAAAAAGACAACACTCACATTTAACAGTTTGAAACTTCATCAGTTTTTATTTACACAAATTGCCCGCAACTGGACATAAAAAAAAAACATTGAAATAAAAAGAGGTGGCAGCCCAATACATTTTTTTTAAACCTCACACACACACACACATGCACACTTACATCAATGTCAATCAGACCTCACAAGCCTCTCACAAATGAAAAAAAATTCACAGAAAGAAAAATACAGTTTTAAAGATTCTCACTCTTCCAACTCAACACGCACACTCCACTCAAACGAAACTTCGTTGCTTGTGCCTTGCTTAAGCTGGTGTATTGCTCTAACAACCTGAAGCACAAACAAAGCAGCAGCACTAAAGGAAATGAATGCCACAAAAAACACGTGGTGCCTACAGTGTTGATAGCTGTCGCAAATGAAGACCGACATCATTGTTTCAAGTGATGTGCACGCATGTGCGCTATGCATCTGTGCAAGATGCTTTGCGTTTTTTCAACCCTTTGCGATCTCAAACCTTTATCCACCTTTTATTTGTTCCAGACTGAATATAAAAGAAGTAAAGCTCGTGTAAAAAAAGTTAAATCATTCTTTCAGAGGTGGCCCATAATTCAGCGAGAAAATGGGCTCGTGAATCAACCATGACAGAGCTTTTCCCGTGATGCCTGACAACGAACTGCTACAGCCCTGTTCCATTGTCGGGAGGGGCCCAGCACAGGACCACAAGGGGTTAACAATGCAACTTGGTTGGTTCTCCAACAGCACTGCAGAGTATTTGAGATTGTGCTATGCACACACAAAAATGAGCAATCATTTCCAGAACCGAGCGACAATGGGTAGTGAAAACAACTTGAAAGGCGACTGCTCTAAAGGCAAAATGTTTTTAGTGTCTTCTTAAAAAGAAACTAAAAGCAACTGTCACACGGGTTCATTTTAATAAATACCAGTCACATATATCACGTTTGTGGTGTCATTCACATAACACAGCAGAAATTCGGAATTGTGGGGCTTGCATTCCATAAATTTCTGTCGCTCAGTGTTACCATAAAGTGCTACCCACTTGGCCTCCTATGCTACTGCGACTTTGGTATGAATCTAGTAGAAGTCATCGTGGGGCTAGTGGGTGCATAGAAATAAATAAATACATCTGGCCAAAAAACGGACAAATACAGCAAACGATGAAGATGTAGCCATTTTACAGTCTCCTTCATCGTTTTTTAAGTTTGTTGTTTGGCTGGATATTTTTTTTCTTTGATGATTTGCGAACAAACTTCCAGTCTAGAATACACTTGCATCTCAGCAACAGTTCTAAGAGTTCGCGGTGAATTCAAAGGGCCTGTCGAAATTTGAAACAACAGCCAGTGATGATGCTTCATTTAGTCCACACCTCATGCAGTGTGATTTCCTTAATGCAGAGCGTCTGCTTTTTCTCCTTGGAACTGGCTCATTTGGCTCTACGCCTTCAAATTGAACGTCTGAGCGTTCCGAGGCAACAACATAAGGAATGCCTCAGTTTAACTGTTGCTCCTTTCTTATCATGGACACGCAAAAGGCCAATAACATCATCACGTAACCAGCTGAACCACCCACTGCCAAGCGCGAGTGAAGACTGGCACGCAATAGTCACATAATTCAATGGCATCAAGAAGAAACCTTTGGAGTTAAACCAAGAAGGAACCTTCCAACATATCTTTTATGAGCATAAAACAATGATAATCTTGCCTCGCAAGTGCAAGCACTAAGATAAATTAGGGCGCCAGTGCCAGAAAGATGGCACATGTCTGTTGTTTCCTTTGATCCTGTCGACTTTTGTGTCGTACACGTCGTCAGTGCTCAAGCCTCCTGTCAGAGTTCTCACACTTCTATTTGACTCTCTAACCACCACAGCCTTGGTGAAATGACTGAGCATCCACCAATGTTGTAGCAGAAAAAGAATGGCTGCCACCAGGCACCTATTGGTTAAATTGGTACAAGCGCACTTCAGGGCTGGTGCTTGGCAGAACAAAGTTCATATTCGCTAAGCAGAGCACTCACCCTGTGAACAGTTGGTGACATGGGACCGCCTGACCTAAAATTAAGGTCGTGCTTTTCAGGTCACACCATCATTCACACTCATTGTAGCACTCGACTAGAAGCTGCACTGAAGTAGCCATCTAGCGATGCGACATATCACTGCTTCCAACACGCAACCATAGGCGACACTACAGGAATTGAGGGTTGCATAATGCCATCGACACAAGTGAAGAGAGCTGTACTGCACCTCCCTGTTGGTACCATGCAAGCAATTCTAAGACATACCATTCTCGTCTGCCAGCTTTAGCAAAAAGAAATTGTTCACTGAAAACAAATAAAAATTCTCATTTCATAAAACACTGCCACATTTTGAGGGTTTTGCCGTAATGCACTCAACAAAGCAGAACACATGAACGTAGGGCTCTAGAACAGGGTATCCATATAAACATTCGATAGCAGCGTGTGAAACGACATGCCCAGTGACAATCCTAAGTTCAACACAAGAAGCTATAGAGTTCTCGTTAAAAAAAAAAGGCATTCCTGGGACTGGATACCTCTGGGCTTTTCTGCCGTTTTGGACTCTACAACTGCAGTAAAGTGTGTACAAAAGCCAAGGCTAGCACAATGTGGGACAAGCAAGCCTAGAGCTATGAGACTGCTTGAAGAGTCACGTGGAGAGGGTAGTAATGGTTCATCGCAGTCCATAACATGGGACCTATGTACAGCAAGTACCTTTACAGGCATGGGTCAACAGAACCTGACAAGAGCGTGACGTCTACAGGCTACGTTTGTTCACGTCAACTTTCTTGTCACCTTGTCGCACTCATCCGAGAGGCTGGCCAGACCCTGGCAACTTCATAAGATTCCACTGAACGCTCACCGCAGAAACATGGCCATTATGACAGGCAGTGATAACAGAACAGACGAAAACAGAGACAGACACGGCTTTTCTCACGTCTCCTTTGACGTCGTCTGTTCTGTTTGCAACGACGGCCGTGTGCACTCGCCTGAAACGTGGTGGCCACCAGCACTTCCAAACCGTCGACACCACTTTACACGAAAACGTGTATCCAGCGTAAGCTTCTGTGAAGCATGGTGTATGTCAGACAGAGACATTAGAAGATCGGTACCTTAATTAGAAGTCCACTGAAACAGTTTTAGTTCGCGGCCACTATTCATCGAAGATTTAAGCAGCTGACAGCTGTGCTAGAGTCTGCTTTCAGATGCCTTTGCAGAGGGTTACGCTTCGGTCAAGTCAGCACGTTTTAGGTAAAGAGACATTGGCTGAATTTAATGCAATGCTCAGTGCAATCAATCAAACCAAAACAGCAAGCTGCTTTAAGTGGCCCAGTGGTTTGGTAATCGGAACAATCAAAGAGCACTTGAACCGGCACAACTGACGTTTTACGACACGACAGAGCTGCTGCGTACAACATGACTCACAGCTGTCAACAAAGTCGTTCAAATTTTGTGCCTGCGGAGCCAAACCTAAACAAAGAACTCGTAGCAGACCCGACTTCGCAAGGTCACTTGACAGCATGATGCGGAAGCGTTGAGTACAGATGGGTGCGGGCAACGAAAAGAAAAAGGCCGCAGGCCAAGAGTCCCGCGAGATGCGCACTGCAACCTATGGAGGCGCCTGCCATCTCGATCTTGTTAAAGAGGGACGCAAGTGGGTGGCGACAACGCGGAATCAAGCTGGCTCTCGGCAGGACGGTGCGCACGGTCCTCGCAAAAGTCAACAGAGGCGTTCAGTAGTCGAGGGCCCACTCATTCTCCGCGAGGAAGCCGTCCACCACCTCCTTCATGGCCAAGTTTGGAATCAGCTGGTCCTGGGTCAACGGCGTTCTTGTCACTGGGTCGAAGTGGCCTACCCTCTGTTTGCCGATGATTGAACAAAAAAAGATGGTTTTATTAGGTGTGACACGTGAAACAAAGCTTGCAGTTTTCGCATGACTCACCAAAGCAAAAACACAATGCTCGTGCCATACGCAGGGTGTTAGATCAAAATGTTTTTCATTTCAGCTCTACTTTCCTTTCAAAGAAAAAAGTTATGTTTCTGTTACGAAACCAGAAAAAATTTCTGTAAGTTTTTATTTGTACGAAAAAAATTTGAAATTGATGTAACAATAAAAGCATTTACCTTTCTAATAAGTTCCGCATCCTCTGAAGAGGCTTAATGCTTTACGTAAGTCAAGGGAGTGAGCATGACCTCAGAACTAAAACGCTATCTAATGTAGTCTCCACTGTGCAAGAACACTGTTCTGATAAAGCAAACTTCAGTGCTGAGAATGTCCTCCACCGACTGGCCTGTGTGACTGGCATATTAACGTCCACTTGCGTTAATAGGAGCAGCTCTGGTTGCCACTCTTTGCATTTTTTCTCACAATTTTGACACCTTTACTTTTAAAATCCCTGCCTGTTATACGTACTCCCCGAGACATGATGCTTACAATGCATAACCTCGGTTGTTCCTGATCAACAACACTTCCATTGAACCAAAAGGACAACAACAACAACAAAAAGAGATCGTTTTCCCTCCGGAGCGGAATAATACCTAACATTTAAATTGTGTTTTCATTTAAGTCTAATAAAATATCCAATCTTTTTCGTTTTTTTGCTTTTTGTGTCCTTCTGACGCCCTGGACATATGGTCACTTATAATCACAATATTGCCTCATGCACATCCAGATCAAGTTTGTGGGGTGTCACTGGCCGTCATCCAGTTTAGACCACTAAGCTTGTCTATTTGACTGAAAAAAATCCCAATTTCACATAAATATTGTTGAACATTTATTGTCTTACAATTTGGTCGATGTTCATTCATTTCATTTTTACATCAGGCATCTTCCGGATAGACAATTTATTGTCAAACTATCCTTCGCTGGTCATCTTTAACTTTAGCCATGGCTACAAATACAGTAAAACCTCGTTGATTCGAAGTGACTGGGGCCACAAGAAAGCTTCGAATTAAGTGGGTTTTCGAATTACAGAACATACAAGAAGTGGGATGCAAGGAACTTGGAACTATTCAGAGTAATCAGTGCTCATCGCTTGCTGTGCCGGCTAGCTTGCGGCTCCAAAGGTCATGTTTTCCAGTAATGCCTGGTCTTTATTTTGCTACGAACATGGAGGAACGGTGGACCTGGCTGCTTTCACCGAAAAAAAAAAAAGAAAAAAAAAACGCAGTCGTGATCGACTAAAATGTGCGCCTGCAGAAAACAAGACATCTTCACTGCAACACAGTAGTGACATGCGGGCAGCATGTCGCCTGCTCCTCGCTTCGTAAGCACGCCATGATGCGATTGATTGATTGGTTTGTGGGGTTTAACGTCTTAAAACCACCATATGATTATGAGAGACGGCGTAGTGAAGGGCTCCGGAAATTTCGACCACCTGGGGTTTTATAACGTGCACCCAAATCTGAGCACATGGGCCTACAACAATGCCGCCTCCACCGGAAATGCAGCCGTTGCAGCTGGGATTCGATCCCGCGACATGCGGTTCAGCAGCCGAGTACCTTAGCCACTAGACCACTGCGGCAAGGCACGTGATGATGCGACCATTCGCACCTTCTTTCTATTATAATTATGAATTTATTAATGACCAGTATGACGAAGCTCACAATGTGTTTCAGGTAGAAAAAATGATCTTTAAAACTTTCAAACTCAGTTTTGAAGTAGGTATTGCTGGCAAGAAATCCACCACCAGTGCAAAGACGCGAATCGCTGGAGCAACAGGCAATCGGAGGTTCGCTTACATCGCGATTTCCGCTAAACTGTCATTTGTTAATTTCTTTACAATAACAGAAGGAATGGGTAAACCATGACCCACTGACGTTGCGAGAAACATGCGATAAGCTGCCCGCGTGTCCCCACTGTGTTGCAGTGAAGCACAGCTCGTTTTCTGCAGGTGCACGTTTAGGTTGACCACGAGACTGTTCTTTTTTCTTTCTTTTTTTTTTTTACCCTGGAAGTAGCGAGGCTGGGGTGCTTTAGCTGCCACTCATTAGTATTGATACGTTGCACTGTCTTGTGGCAATTAATGGCCGTCGTTTCGGCGGATTCGCGGCGAAATCGGGATCTGGCACATGGCACACAAAGCTTTCGAATGAACCGAACTGGTACCAGCCGACGCTTCAAATTATCTGCTCAAACTTACATGGCAAAATACGGGACCACAGACATCCTTCGAATCAAGTGGGATTTTTAAATAACAGAGTTCGAAATAAGAGGTTTTACCTACTTGTGCAATATGGCAATTTCGGCAATGTGAACAGCAACAGCACACTTTCTAACAAAGAGCTTTTTTGTATCTTTTAAAAATTATTTTTGCTTTTTCTTGTTTTTTAGGCATTTTACAGCATGTTCAATATTAAGGCGCAGATGTGAGCCGAATTGCATGAATTAGTCATGTGTTGTGATCGTTTTGATTCGGAGTGGACTAATCGCAATCAGAAGTAATCGTATTTAGCACATGATCCAAATCGAATCAAATCTTGGTCAGGCCCAATGCGATCATAAGCAACTGTATGGCACCAACACAGAAAGCTTCTCTCCCCCAAAAAGCAACTTCCACAAATCTACTCAATCCACCAACTTAGACCTCCAAGGCTTTGATTAACATGTACGGCTCCCAACTTGTACCTATACTCCATCTCACCACTACCACTAAGCGCTACCAAGGCTACGGGATGTAAGCAAGCCACACGCCTGCACAGCAAAACATAGTTCCTGAGAGAATTATCTTACAGTAGACAGAGTTGAGACATTGGCGCTTGTTTCCCACGTGTAATGTCACACCAAAGAAACAAGCAAGATTTCGAACAGGCTACTCAACAATCGAACACATTCATACTATCAATCATGTAATAGAGAAATGCTCAGAATACAGCCAACCCCTGTACATAGCCATTATAGATTACGAGAAGGCACTTGATTCAGTAGACATATCAACAGTCATGCAAACACAGCAGAATCGATCGTCGACGAAGCATATACATATAAACATCCTGGAAGAAATCTACAAGGGATCAACTGCCATCATAGCGCTCCATAAGAAAAGCAACCGAATACCAATCAAGAAGGGGATACGGCAGGGGGATACAATCTCCCCAATGCTATTTACTGCGTGCTTACAGGAGGTTTTCAGAGGCCTAGAAAAGGAAGAGTTGGGGATAAGAGTTAACGGAGAGTAGCTTAGTAACCTGCGCTTCGCCGATGACATTGCATTGCTGAGTAACTCGAGGGAGGAATTGCAACTCATGATTACGGAGTTAGACAAGGAGAGCAGAAAGATCCCTCAAGAGGAAGGTATATAACAGCTGTATCTTGCCGGTACTTAGCTACGGAGCAGAAACCTGGAGACTTACAAAGAGGGTTCAGCTTAAATTGAGAACAACACAGCGAGCAATAGAAAGGAAAATAGTAGGTGTAACCTTAAGAGACAAGAAGAGAGCAGAGTGGATTAGGGGACAAATGGGGGTTAAGGATATCATAGTTGAAATAAAGAAGAGGAAATAGACATGGGCCGGGCATGTAGCACGTAGACAGGATAACCGCTGGTCATTAAGAGTAACCAACTGGATTTCCAGAAAAGGCAAGCGGGTAAGGGGGAGGCAGAAGGTTAGGTGGGCAGATGAGATTAAGAAGTTTGCTGGTATAAAATGGCAGCAGCAAGCACAGGACAGAGTTGACTGGCTGAACATGGAAGAGGCCTTTGTCCTGCAGTGGACATAGTTAAGATGATGATGATGTCACACCAATGTGCGACATGTTTATTCTTCGCATTCATTCATGTTGTGTGCTTTTATTTGCTGTATTAGTAACCACTGGCAAATGCGGCTACAAATGAGCATGGCAGCAACCTGCAGACGTGACCAGCGCTTAGATCTGAACTTGCACTTGCTATTCGCCCACTGCGCAGGCAGCAACAAATGAATGGTGAAATGAGTCATCACTTTGCGCCATTTCATGCTGACAACAAAGCATCGGGTATATTTTGTCATTTTTTGAGAGATCGACTGTTCGTTTAGCCACACCTACTAAGCCTGACATGGTGAGAATTAGTGCAATATAACCTCGAATTCACTGCCGCCATAGCGTCAGCGCGTTAAACTAAAGCAAATACGAGTGTCGGTTTGTAACTTTTGGCTCGCGCAGCAAATAACGACTACTCTATATGTAGGCATGTAATAGACCCTGTACTTCTAATTTTCGCTGAACACCACAAATTGCTGGGTAGCTGTACCATGGACCCTTTAACCACTTCAGCATCCAGTTTGCTACTCTACACTGGTGGCAAGGAAATGGGAAATTGAAAGAGAAAGGATGCCATGCACGAGTATGAACAGTCTGAGGCCATATTATGCCTAACATTCATGACTTCATTGCTTTGACCTTGAGAATTGCAGCTTTTCTGATTTAATTATACAAAAGAGGGCAACAGGTGAGCCAAAATGATTACTGAAGAGCTGGAAATGTATGCGGATTCCCACACCACCTCCGATGAGTTGTTTATTTCACATTTCAAGTAAACAAGTGCATATTTAGAATGCCATCACAATCGTCAATGCCAAACGTGGCAGCGCTGCGAGCTGCGGGCGCCCCACGACTTTCAAGAAACAATCCTTTCTTCTCTCTCGGCAATGTTCAGTATTTCGGTGTTTGGCACGACGCCAACATCTTTATCTGCTAGTCATTCGCAAGACCTATTTGTTCGCTCGCTCAACACCCTTTGACTTGCTCTTACCCCTTGCATGGTGAGGAGGGGCACTCGGCCAGGAAGAGAGACAAGCCAACGAGCGGAGCATGGGGAAAGAAAGAGCGGAATGAGCAAGGGCCCTTTCTGCATCGTCAAACCTGTACTACAACTCTGCTATCATGGCGCTGTTTCGAAAAATTCTCATGTCTACTTGTTCATTGTGGAAGTATGCAGCAGAACTGCAACTGAATTTCGATCTCTGGGTGGCTTAGGAGCCACTCAAGAACATTCAGCAATTGCACAGCAGTTCGAGCTGCAGCAGTCAGCTTGTCCAAGAGCACACATACAGTGTCCCTAAGAGATCAAAACACACTGGTCCACTAATTTTAGCGAGCTAAAAATGTCACGTCAATCTAAAAATGTCTCGTGAATAACCAACTGCTGTCGATGGAGAGAGGGAGTTGGAAAGAACTACTCGCCTGTAGATGCTCCTCTATGTCCCTGCGGTCGTAAGTGATGCCACTCGGCGTGATGACCGGCTCACGCATGATCTCGAAGCTGATTTTTCCGCACAGGTAGTCAGGCACTTCTCGTTTCTGCACATTCATGAAAAAGTTTTGACAGCGTTCTGTTAAAAAATAATGCCTATAACTGCCAGTTGGGCGAGTTGGTGTGGGTTCATAGTTATGAACGGCGCGAAAAACACGGGACACAAATGAAGAAAAACGCACAGACACGGCACGGCGCCTATGCGTTTTTCTTCATTTGTGTCCCGTGTTTTTTGCACCGTTCATAACTATGAATGCCTATAAATTCTAGCATGGTGACAAACCATAAAATCAGACTAATAATTACGCCACTGTCGCACATAAATATGTGCACTAAAAATAAATCTGACGCAGGAAGAAGAAGGAGGCCGACATTTAAAGAAGGCTACATTATAGCATAGGGTTAGTGACGCATGTGTAGCGCGAATCTCTCCTGGCTGATAATTCCTGAACTGGTTAATGTAAAACATATTTCATTTGACTCAACAGACTTGAATAAACAAACACATTCTATATGCAGTAAAAAGAACCTGTTTTAAGGGAGGTTTTGAAAAGGGGGCACCAAACATTTGCGGCTCGAAGCCCTTTGCTTGTGCTCACTTTGAATCGAGCAGCAGCTAAAACGCTGACCTCCTTCTGGGTCACTCATGTCTTGGCACAGAGCTGTCGCTGCAGTGGGTGCCGTCACATTTGTTTAACACAAAGCTTTTAGGGCAGGCTTTAAGGCTATCACCAAATTCGAGAAATAAGAGTCTGCGACACAAAAAGGATGGTGATGTGCCTTAATTAAGGAGGATTAGCATCTGTAACAGTACAGAGCAGGTAGATTTAGGTGGATCTTAAGGCAGGATAACCTTTCACCTAAAGTCATATCAGTGTTAGTTGAGGGGACCCAGAATTTTTTTTCTCCGCATATAAAGCTCAGTCAGTCTACATGCTGCAGTGAAGAGGTTGCAGAAGCCCTGTGCAATCATTCATAATCATAACAGAGCCTCATCACTGCGTCAGCAGCGACATAAAACAGAGCAGGACTAAAACTCACCCTGCGCCTTTCATCCACCTTTGCAAATATGTTGTTCAATTCTGATATGTACTTGTCCTGCAAACAAGAGAAAAAGACGACAAGCTAAACATACAGCATGAAATCAGAAAATGAACAGGAACAGGCTTTCCGTAGATTTCATGAGTGTACCAGAATTTCAGTCGAACCCCGCTACAACAAAACTGAAGGGGCACGGAAAAGATTTCGTTGTAGAGAAATTAAAAAAAAAATACATAGCGGACCTGAGCTAGCAAAACAAAGGAAATTCTATTTCCGAAATTCCAAACGTGTTGGCTGCTTCCTTTTCTTTCCCAGAAGCGTCATGACCTTATTCTCACACATGCACAGCGATGCTACACTGAAAAGCACGCTGAAACAACGGCCATAATGGCTTTCGTTAACAAACCTAACGGTTGCTCCAACACCTAACACCAGCAGCCGTCAAATGATATCCAACAACTCCAAGATAGAGTTGTGGTATCGAAGAGTCGTGCCATGCCATATTCTATGCTATTCTTATAATCCACTCGTCGCGGCTGGCTGTTTTTGATCATAATAAGGACAAGCAGCCACTCTGACCACACTGGTCGAGTGCGGAAAGAACCAAAGAATTGACATCGGAAAAGAGATTGTTCTGCGATACACCCAGCAGCAGCGGGTAAGAAAACTGAGCAACTGAGCTTTAGCTTCCGACCGTCTCTGGCTCAGAAGCAAGCCAGTGGCAAAAGCAGGGCAGTCTCATTGCCATCGCTATCGAGCGAGGGCGGCCTCCAAGCTTAGTAAACAGCGACAGTTTCTGGTGGTGCCAATGCGCGTTTTAGACTTCGTAGACATATTTTAGGTCTTCAAAATGCGTCTCATTGTTCAAGATTGTGTTTACTGCATGGCAGTAAATATCTGAGCTCGGAATTGCATCGTCGAATTTCATTGAAGTGGAATGACAGAAAAGAAAGTGTTTGTTGGGGCGAGAATATTTAAGCAGTGACTATAGGCGACTAAAGCGGAACCGAGACTTTTTCGTTACAGCGGAAATTTCGTTGAAGCGGCATTAATTGTACGACCGCATTAGTCTTGTATGCAAGCATCACAAAGATCATTAAACCAAAATGCATCCTTAATCAAAAGAAAAAATAATCGCTTGAAACAAATACTTATTACTACAAGAATGAAGTTACGTGATGTCATTTGTACCATATATTCATGATTACTTTATTTGCTGATTGATCACCGAAATTCCATTTTTTTTCTTCCTGGACGCAATGAAAAGTCACCCTTTGCGTTACAATCGTGGTCCCGTGACAATCGAGTAATTACAGTACGCCAATGCATACACTTTACTAAAACCCACACTTTTCGCCTTTCAGTCGTTCAGCTACCAGCACAAAAGGTTGCCGGCGGTGTGCTTTACGGGAAGAGCGCCAAAACTCAAAATTCAAGACTCAAACATGCAAGAGTAAAGAAGGAAATGACATGGAAGCCTAACCAGTGCGGCCTCCACCCTTTCGATGTCTCCCTGGCGAGTGCCCATAATTTTCATTTCTTGAACCCTCCTGCATAGAAGAAAAGCAGCAACAGAATCGCACGTGAATTCCTTTATTACACGAGATTAATGTTGCAACCCGAACAAACCAAATATCACGGAATCTTGGGACAACTCAAGCCCTTCATTCAGCTCTGCTAAAGTCTTCTACGTCTGGCTCTGATCACTTCTAAAGTCACTTCTTAACTGCTAAGCTATCGCCAAGTTGGAAAATTGTAAATATCACTGAAGACCGTCTTCCACAAGAAAGGCAGGAAGTGGAAGATGAAAGCTTGCGACGAGAAATTTGTAAAACAGGGCTCATGTGCCGCAGCTGATGTTTCAACGAGTGGACTAGTCTTTTTTCAAGGCTGCAACTTTCAAACAGTTGCAGCCTTGAAAACAGGCAAGTTCGCTTGTCGAAACCTCCGCTCCAGCACCCGCCTTGTTTTTGAGTTTCACATTTCTGTGTTCAGTAGCGCTTTGATTGTGTAACTGCCGTCATTACTTAAATATATGTTTCAAGAAGTTGTATTGACAGGGACCTGCGTTAAAACTTTTGCTTTCCTGCGTCTCATTTGTGCATCTTCTTGCTAATGAAATAGGCCCTGTTATTTTAGTGAAATTCTTTGTATGAGAAGAAATGTAAGTTCTTTTTTATCGCTGTTATCACCACTTTGCATTATTGTGATCAACACTTTGTATCATAGCACTAGTCACCACACCTGTATCATTGCGATTACTAGCACAGTTTGCACTATATTTTTCTTTTTATGCATAGCTGTAAACATCCTGGTGATTTTGCTTTCTGTATTGCATTCCACCAAGGATACTATGCAAATCTGCACTTTGCATGTCTCCTCATGTCTCTCTTATGTTCGCGTTTCAATCGTAATATTCCCATTGCGGATAGGAATTTCAAAGACATGTTGGTGCGTGGCAAAGTAAACTTTCATTCTACTGCCCATGTAAGATCTTGCTTCCATGCAAGATGCAAGACTTGCAAATACCTTCAAGATGACATGATAGTTAGAAAGCGCTGGGAGTGACCATGCCCATCATTTACATGATGGTTTAGCTTCACAAGTGAAAACGCTATCTACATGATCGAAAGTTCATATTGTCATAAACAGTGCATTGGCCAAACAGGGCAGCCTGACAATGTTATTACACTAAACTAGGTCATCGCGCGGACATGGCAAAGAAATTACCGAAAGCAGCGGCACAGCATTTTAATGTAGCAGGACACAACTTCGACCAATCTCAAAACTCTACATACTCCAGTCAAACTTCCGGTCAGTTTGCAAGAGACAAAAAATATAAAAGAGTTGTACCTTATTCACAAGTTCAATACACTCCAGCCAGTAGGTATGAGTGTTTCTTAAAGGGTCACTCACCAGGCTCCATACTGAATTTCAGTTAGACAGTGGAAGTTGTTGGGTGTTCGATGAGGAACGTTTGGCCACAAAAATTTTTCGAATCAGTTCATTATGAGCGGAGAAAACAGGTTTTTGAAGCGGTGCGAAACGAGGGTGAGAGGAGGCGAGCTTGAAACCCTTGCTGCTCCTCCGCGTAGCCTTCGCAAGGCAAATCTCTTCCCCACCCTCTCCAGCATCCAGCCAACCGAGAAGTGACGTGCGCATGACGTGCCCGAACAAGCCCAGCCCCCGCGCACGCGAGCGGCGTTGCTTTGTTGACCAGCGTTATTTTGTGGTCTTCTGCCTGTTTCTGCAGGATTGTTTGTAAACGCTGGCTTATACGCAGTAGAGTAGATGAGCACAATGAGTGCGCGAACGCGAAGGAGCGTTCTACGGCGATCGTCTGCTCAATGCGCTGGCAGCGTGGACCCGAACGCATGCGAAACGCTGGCACATTAGACCCGCATCACGTAGCATTTCACGGGAAAAAATGTAAGAAAAAAGCGCACAATTTTTTTTTATTACGACTCATTATTTATTTCAAGTTCTATGCATCTCTTAAAGCAACAAATACATAAACTACGCATGTTGTGTTAAATAATTTTTGCTGTGTCACGTGGTATACTGTTGACAACGTCAGAGCAGAGTCGTCTACGTAGAGGACCAACGTCAGTGCATTGCCGTGTACGTAGGACCATTCCTACGCCCACGTCATGCCCTCATTCTCTACGCGTGTGCCGGCAGAGGGGAGGGGGAGCAGCTTTCATCTTGAAATTTGACCCATTTCCGCGGCGCGTAGCGTTGCAAATTTTGGCAGACGTGATCATGAACGCCTCGTCTACGAACGCCTCATCAACGTTTGTCAGCTCAAAATTGTGAAACCTGGTGAGTGGCCCTTTAAGGGGCTCTTGAATCTACTCTACATGCTTCATACACAAAAACCACTGCGTGTTAAGCCCTCTAAGAGTTTCAAACCTGCCATTGTTAAATTCTGAAAACCATTCTACAACTGGGGCTCATTGAGACGTGTATATCCTCACTACCCCACCATCTCCTTTTTATTCACAGGATACCTGTTCCTTCTACACACACAATATTTGTCACAGCACCCCCCTTCTCCGCTATCTCGCACCCCAACGTCCAATGTAGCCCCTGCCCCTCCTATGTTAGGGTGGAGGAGAGGGTACGAAGCGTGGACACGCTTCCGCTAAAGAAATCAGTTCTGTTCTAGCCTTGAGGAAGACAAGTGCACAAGTCGAAACATCGGCTCAACACAACCCCAGTTTACTGATTTATCATCGCAAGCTTCCATCTTCCCCGTCCTGCCGTTTTTTGGATCTACGTGGGCACTTCCGCATTTCACCATCATCAAAGTGTGACCACTGTCATGACTAGGAGTCGAACCCCTACCCTGCAGCTTAGCAGAAGCACACTTTAGTCACCACGCTACTACAGTGGGTATAAAATAACTGGCTGATAACAATGTTTAGCATGTTCAATAAAGACTTTGTGTCTGACTTCTAAGATACTATTCATCGTCGGCATTATGGGGTGAACCTGTTCAGACTACGCTATGTTTCGTTGTGCTATGATGTAACATCAGGAAAGTATACTAGTCAAAGATTACGATATTGTGATTCTAAGAGGCCTGCATGCCAAACTGTAATAAAAGAGGTCGCTCGTCAGACTGTGTATCCTGATGAGCGGCCTGCGCTCGTCAGGCCGTAAAACCGCTACCCCTGCTCTTTTACAAATTCGGGTCGAGGAAAGTTCAATTATATTCGATTCAATGCCTACGATTCTGAAAATAGAAGGGAGCACGCACTTCTTCTTGTCGAGCAGGATGAGCTGGTTGAGGTAGGTCTGCAGCTCAATCTCCTGCTGCAGCCGCTTCTCCTCGATGAGCTGCCAGCGCCGCTTGCGCGCCAGCCGCAGCTGGCACGCAATGTCATCGCCAAAGTTGAGCTTCTGCTCGCGGGCCAGGTCATTAGCTGCAAACAATTTTGCAAAAGACAGGTCCTCATCTACATCAACTCGTACCACCATGCGAACACTACACTATAACCTGACTGGTACATTTCCGCCTCTTACCATTTCCTGGTGCAAATGTTCACAATATCGTTATCAAGCGACACTGTATGATGTTTCAGTGAACTTGAATTGCACATTTCCCTTGATAGTACATCCCCCCCCCCCCCCCTTTTTCTCTAAAGCTTATGAACGACGTCCTTCTACGCCCAAAGCAGGCTTCCAATATGTATTATGCAGCCTCTGTGACTGGACACGAATAAAACAATTTGCGTAAAACTTTCACTGAAGGGAGCAGCTATAATGTGCAAATCGTCTGAAGTGCAACTTCAACAAAACATTAGACGGCATGAAATAGTTAATTTAAGGTAATTCAGATACCAGTAGGGCACAATGGCACAGCCGCCTTTACGCCATGAAGCATTCCATTTAAACTTTAAGTACAGAGCACTCTCTTTTTATTTCATATATATACACTCAAACCTCATAATAACGAAGTTCCATCTTACAAGAAAATAAGCTCTTTGTATCTGAAAATTCGTGTAAAAGTATATTTCTAGCACTATGCATACTGCAACAGTACACTTTTACTCCGTTCTAACAGACATTCCGTTATAACAAGGTTTGAGTGTATATATCTAGTACAGTCGATCCCCGATATATGTGGATTTATCTCGGATATATGGAATCATTGGCTATATCAAACAGATGAGAAATTCCCTCGAATTTCCCATGCAAAAGTACAAGAGCGGAGCACCTGTATATCGAACTCCCGCACAGTGGGACATCTGCTATATGGAACGCTGCACCATGCCGCAGCACCGAAAGTGCATTTTTCCTAGCAAATATTGATAAATTGTCAGCTGCATTCTAACAAGTTCCAATCCCTTTTCACGTGCAGGTGATGAAAATGTGGCATTATTCCATTGTGCTGATATGGTTCATCGCGCGACGCTTGCGAGTGCACCGGTACGGTTGATGCGGGATCTGCAGGTCTTAATGCGTGGGCATAGTATTTTTCAAAAACACCAATTGCCGATGACACGAGAACGAGAATGCGATGTGACCCGGCGACCTTGTTGCAATGTTCGAGTCCCCTTCCTTGTTTGTTAGCACACAATGGCATGCGAGCCTGAAAAGCATGGCCTTTGAGATGTGCAACCTCGTGACGATTTTTTATGTTCACGGTTCTAAGAACGCATGTCTCGAAGACACTTTTTCTAGCTTTTCGCAACAAAGCAGCGGCTGCCAGCTACAAAGCCACAATTGATATCGATATCACCAACATGGCAACGGTCAGAAGTCGACGTTGTTTTTTGCGCCTTGTGAACTTGTGTACCTCTCGCCTCGTTCCTGATTAATCCTCATTCGGGAGTTGAACACAACGTGCAGTTGTGAACATTTGCTTATGCTAATAATGTAGTGTGGTTTTGCAGTTATCTTTAGAGACATCCAGTTTATGTGATGATATCCTTCCTCCCCCCCTTACACACACACACACGCACACACACACATGAAAAAAGTGTATACCTAAGGGCTCCTTTTTCCTTGTGTAGAGAGGAAGAAGATTATGTGCCGCAGTGGGTCATGCCTTTAGCGAGAGGAGCCAAGTGCGAGCGTTTGCCCCGAGTGCTGTGATTCCTGGGTCCGTTGCTGCCGCCCGCTTCCCGCATCAATAGACCTGCTGTGCAAGTGCTACTTGCACCAATAAACCCCGTTTCAGAGTGGTGGAGGTGCTGGGTAACTCAACCTGAAACTCCGCAACAGGAAACCACCTGCCATCCCAGAAATGGCTGAAGAAAACACCCAGCTAGGTATGACCCAGCCTCCGATGGTCATCGTGCCCGCTGCGCTACGCGTGCACGATCCACCTTTTTTCGACGGTACCGATGAGCAAGACATAGAAGATTGGCTGTCGACATTTGAAAAGGTAGGCGCAAGCAACAAGTGGGACGACACATCGAAGCTGCAATATGTACCCTTCTACCTGGAAGAGGTAGCGAGTCTCTGGTTTAACAACCACCACTCGGAATTCGCCACTTGGGGTGCTTTTAAGCTACGCATTACCGATGTATTCGGTCGCCCCGAGGTACGCAAGCTCCGTGCCGAGCAGCGCCTACGGGGACGCGCACAGCTTCAGGGGGAAGGCTTCACAAGCTACATCGAGGATGTGCTCGACTTGTGCAAGCGTCTTGACCCTTCAATAATCGAAGCAACAATCAGTGCAACACGACCCGTCCCCAATTGAACTAGACCACCAGGTTGGTGCCGACTACCGACCATTCGGTCCCCGTCGCTGATCTCCGTCCCCGCTGCGTCGCTGACCGAACCCCGTAGAGACGGAAAACTGACTGCCGCAGCTCCGGAGGCACGAGCTGCGAAATCGTCGCATTGTAGAAGTCCTCGCCCGTTCCCCACAAACGTTCTGGAACTGTTTGTTGAAGGTCTATGAACTCTTGCGCTTGTTGACACGGGTGCCGCCGTATCTGTGACGAGTCAAAACCTCTGCCGTTCGATACGAAAAGTAACGACGACGCCTTCCGACATATTGCTGAATACCGCGAGCACGCAACCTATTCGACCAGTCGGAGCATGTACGGCGAGAGTAATCATTCAGGACGTCCTGTACCACATCGAGTTTCTCGTGTTAGCCACTTGTTCCCATGACGTGATACTTGGATGGAATTTTTTATCACGCCACCATGCCGTAATTGACTGCGCTCGCGCGCAGGTGGAATTTTCTGTGTTTTCTGATGCTCCATCTATTGACAATGAGCTCACTCACCTTGGCAAGCTTCTTGTTGCTTCCGACATAGATGTTCCCCCTCTTAGTGCTATCGTTGTCCCCGTCAATCGCACTGAATTGTCCGGCTCTACCATTGTGTTCTCCCCATCTGACGTTTTCAGTCGCCGCCACGGTACGTCTCTGCCATACGCCGTTCTGCCACCTCACCAAGATACTTCCGGAATTGTCGTTTGCAATCCTAGCTCATGCCCTCTCACCTTAAGAGCTCACGAAACACTGGGCTATGTTCTTCCTGTTGATGACAACGTTATTGTGTCTATCAAGTCCCACGACCCAGGCCAGCAACTTCAACTGAACGCTGTTACTCCTCCTTTTACGCGGTATGACTTCTCCTCGGATATCTTCGATCGTTCCATCGACAGCCAGCTTCCTCTGGATCGACGAAACCAGCTAATAACCCTTTCGCATGAATTCCGTGATTCATTTGACCTTCCTCAAAAGGCACTGAGTCAAGCTAACACCCTCGCTCACACAATCTACACTGGAATGCACCCTCCTTTGCGGCAACGCCCCTACCGCGTGTCACCCAAGGAACGAAGTGTAATTGCAGAACACGTGGACGATATGCTTCAGCGCGGTGTCATCAAGCCATCTTCTAGCCCCTGGTCGTCACCTGTTGTGCTAGTGAAGAAAAAATACGAAGACGGTTCGATTACATTTTGTGTCGACTACCGGCGACTGAACAAAATTACACGGAAAGATGTGTACCCTCTTCCCCGCATCGACGACGCTATCGATTGCCTACAAGGTGCCGAATTCTTTTCTTCGCTGGACTTACGTTCAGGTTACTGGCAGGTTCCGATGGCAGAGTGTGACCGTCCCAAAACAGTGTTTGTTATGCCGGATGGCCTATACGAATTCACGGTTATGCCATTCGGTCTGTGCAATGCACCTGCAACGTTTGAACGAATGATGGACAGCGTTTTACGCGGCCTTAAATGGCAGATATGCTTATGTTACCTTGATGATGTTATCGTATTTTCTCCTGATTTCCCTACCCACGTCGACCGTCTGCGCACAATTTTTCAGTGCCTTACTAAGGCAAACCTCCAGCTTAACCTAAAGAAGTGCCGCTTCGGGGCTCGCCAACTTACTATACTTGGTCACGTTGTGTCAAAGGATGAAATTTGCCCCGACCCGGACAAACTTCGAGCCGTAGCCAACTTTCCGAAGCCGACTTCACTCAAAGAATTTAGGAGCTTCATCGGCTTGTGCCCGTATTTTCGCCGTTTCGTCCACAACTTTGCATCAATAATAGCCCCACTTACGCAACTACTGAATGGTCCAGCTAATCTCTCTAACTGGACCCCGGCATGTGACGAAGTCTTCCTTACACTGCGCCGCCTGCTTACGTCGCCACCCATTCTACGCCATTACGATCCAAGTGCCCCACTGAAGTGCACACAGACGCCAGTGGCGTTGGTCTGGGAGCCGTACTCGCGCAACGAAAGCCCGGTAATTCAGAGTACGTCGTCGCATATGCAAGCCGCACACTCACGAAAGCGGAAATGAACTACTCCGTAACTGAAAAAGAATGCCTCGCAATTGTTTAGGCGTCAAGCAAGTTTCGTCCTTACTTGTACGGACAGAGTTTCGACGGTGTGACAGACCACCACGCACTTTGTTGGTTGGCATCGCTAAAAGATCCTTCAGGTCGCCTTGGCCGTTGGGCTCTTCACCTACAAGAATTCGACCTTCGTGTCGTCTACCGCTCAATACGAAAACACTCTGATGTGGACGCCCTCTCACGATAACCAGTGAGATCCAGCGCAGACCTGCATTCGGACGCCAACTTTCCCATCGCTCCCATTTCCGTCTCAAGCATGTCGTCTGAACAGCGGAAAGACCCATGGATAAAATCTCTCCTCAACGTCTGTGTACCCACGCGCTCTTCGCCGCCAAGCCACACATTTCGAGATACAGGATGCGCAACTATACCACAGAAACTACCATGGGGATGGCCGTAAATGGCTCTTGGTTATACCACGCCACATGCGATCTGATGTCTGTGCGTATTTTCACGCCGACCCACAACATGCTCACGCTGGTGTGTTAAAAACATATCACCGGATTCGCCAGCGTTACTACTGGCATGGTATGAGCACCTTTGTACAAAAATACATTCGGTCCTGTTCATTATGCCAACGACGAAAGACA